TTGAAGCCAATAGCCAAAAGACAAACGAAATCTAGTGGAGACGGCGAGTAAAACGATTCTGCAACACCTGCTTTGGGTGCAGAAATATGAATTTAACGAGAAAACTTGATTGACGGGAGCTGCTGATAGAGTTGACTAAAATAAAACGAATTTCAACTGACTTAGATTATTGTATTTTTACAGAGATTAGAGATACTAGTCGGATAACCTAATCTTGCTCAAAAAGACCATACCCCCACCCAGTCAAAATGTGTTGCAAAAGAAGATAATGCGCCAGTCTGATATTCCTATGACAGAACTAAACAGCATTTACTTCCACTAAAAATCAAGTCTTTTTACTAAGAGTTAAGAGCTTCCTATTTCGTTAGATCCAGATTTTTCATACAGCACATAAAGGTAATTCCGAAACCAACTTCTACACCTCGGTTATCAAATGGCATATAATCCCGCACAAGTGCGACTTTCAATCCGCCTTTACTATTTAATATCCGATACATTGTATCAAAAAAACAATAATTTAAACACATTGAAATAGCAAATATAAGAATTCACATGGATAATGAATAAACTTGCAGTTCCGTTTAGGGCTCATAGGCATTGTCAGTCGAGAATTAGCCATACAGGCAAAGTCAGTCTGGAACAAAGACTGCCCTACAATCTGAAAAATGATCAGATTCTATAGTTTTACGAATACCGATCCTCATTTAGATATTTAGGTGAGGACAACGTTAATCCAATATAAGAAAACTCCATATCAGGTTGTACTTCTAGTCGTTCGTTATTCATAATACGTCACTGTTGAGCCTATGGGACGGACTGCCTCCACAAGCAGGCACGCTAGCGTTGGTGGACCAAAAATCAGACGGCCTTAACCTCTCACATTTGTTTCCAATCAGTTTCGTAATAAGGCAACTCCGTTCGATCAGAGTACCCAAACCTATTGAAAAAGTCAATTACGCTGTTCAACCAATGCAAGATCTTGCTCCTTTCAAAGTGCACAAAAAGTAACCGATTGCTCGCTACTAGTCATTTTGTTAAAGGTTTCTATATGCGTAAACCACAACGTGCTTGAGAAACATGGTACTTGTGACGTCTACAGATGATCCGCCCACTCGTGACGGATTTATCGCCTGCGAGTTTCAATTGTCGGATTACAATTGTCGGTTTCTCACACTTGTAAACGCCATGTATTCAAACGGTAACTGTGATTTAAAAAAATATATTCTCGATACCCTAATTTGTCTTGTCCAAACTACCGTTTTAGACTGCGAACTTTCTTAGTTTTTTCAAAATGCACAGCTAAAAGATTTCCTTAAAAACTTTGGTAATTCAAACTCTTCGGCCGGCATTGGCAACTCAAAGGTTTTATGTCCTAAAAATTGTTTTCTAGTCCATTCGGTGGTTGACTTTAATTATAAATGTTGTGACTTCTATGGTGGTCTAGTTCGTCCTTTTTCTTAAGAAGGGACATTTCTGACATTTTTCCAAGCATAAATTGTTTATTATTTGTTAGAGGATTTTATTAAGATGCATTACATCATTATTATGAGTTTTAGGTAGGAGTCAAGTTGGATAGTGAGTTTGGAATTCTCTTTCTTGAGCTCACAAAGGTCCAGGAAATTGCGTATCAAAGTAAACCTAGATTCTTGTGTGGTAAAATTTAGTGTGTCGGGATTAATTTGTAGCCATCGCTTTGTAAGCTTAAATTACCGCATTTTAATAAACTAGGATGTCTTTGGAAAACAGTGAATATATCCTTGGCTATTTAGCTATAAATTATCGAATAAATTTAGTTCCATGTGCTTAAGTATTCATCTTAATGTCTACTTCATTTCACTAATTGAACCTTTGTGTCAACTTAGAATCGAACAAAGAATAGCACTGAGACAAAATAATCTTCAGGCATGTCCTAGTAATGTAGAAATTTGTGAATCTTCGAATCAGGAAAAGATCTTCAAACAAAATGAATATTAAGCGTTGAAGTCTGATATTAATTCTGTGAATAATATCATTTCTTTCTAACGTAGTGATGTAAGGTTCTTGACCTAGTTGTATAACTGAGTACGGTAATGAGAGAACTTAAGATTTGACACAACTTCTCATTTTAGATTCTCTGTGTAAAGCTTTATTGCGTAGTCGTTATCAGAGACAAAATCCTATCCGGTGAAATCTTAGCTTGATACAGAGAATTAAACAGGCATTATTTTGAAACATATAACCACATTTGTTGATTTACTCATATAGGCCCGAGTGAACCAATGGCATTTGTCGTCAGGAGAAGCTTCTTGGACGCTTGACATTGCTGAAAATAGGTTGTTATTCAAACATGAGAATTACTATATTGATCTTGATTGAAAAAAATCGACTAAAAGAATGGATCGGAAAAAGTCAGACAAAATTTCGTCAATATCAAAAATCACATATCAGAGGAAACAATTCGTATGTTGTGAATTGTGTGACGTCTTATCTAATGAGAGTATTAATTCGAATATATCTGTTGCTGTGTATTGGGCTTGTTTGTTACACATTTCGAATTTTGTTTCCATACCTCTACTAATCACATCAATTATATATATTGTTTTATATAATTTTTTATATTTGATTATTAAAGATTTTTCTCAATCTATACGTATCTGGAAGATATTCCTTGCTAGAACAGTCTTAAAAGATACTATCGTCGAAGCTTGACAGCTTGTGCGTTCAGATATCATGTTCTGTGACCTCAACACCAGTGTATGAAAGGATAAGAACATAAAAATAAATAATAAAGGAACAGACATACACAATTGTATCGGCACACGTATATAAAACTATAGTGTCCCCCCCCCCCCCCTCCCCCATGTTGCGATTTTATTTGTAATTATAGAAATAAAACTTTGAAGAAACGGCATCAGTTTCCAAACAAAGTCGACTCCTTTTTTTCACAAGCTTAGAGGCTCTTTCAATGTTTCAAAGCATGCTGGTTCGAAGATATCATGGCATAAAAATAAATTTCATGTGGATATTAGCGTCCTAGCAGACATGTACCTAGGATTTTATAGCTTCTTTATACTTATAAATGAAATGCCTGACAATTTTTTGTCTTTTCACCGCGGAATATTTTCAATAAAACACGAAACTTCATTTTTACTTTCACCGTTGCGGTGAAAGCCCTTACAACGACATTGTTAACATGTCACTTGTGACGTCAACCGAGAATTTTAACAACTCCTGGCGATAATCTTGTTTCCGCTTCGGGAAATTCCCGAGTTCTAGCTGTGACGTATTTGGCGGATAAAAGTGCAAATATCAGAAAAACGGCGAATCTAAGAAGAAAACTTTTTCCAGATTTGAAGTCAGCGACAAATTCTGCATAGAATAAGCCAAAGTTATTTTTGCGTGTCAGTTCTCCTTTAAGAAGCAAATTCTACTTAGTAACTAGGAATCTATCTAGATTTTCTTTAGTGAAATCTCCAGGTAGCCAACATCCCAATGATGTCAAAGAAACTCTTAAGCTATAATAATTATCAAACAGTTAACTGTTTGTACCATCAGCTGGGTTAATAAATTTTTGCAACAGTGTCGGAAAACAAGTTATTCTGATCAAATTCTGATCGGAAAACAAGTTATTCTGAAAATCACTAGCTGCTTTGCCTACGGCTAAACAGCAAAAGCAAAGCTCTTCTCAACATCTCCTTAACTTCTCTGAAACTCTCTTGTCAAGCGACTCCCAGCCTCAACTGCCTAGCACCAAAATCGCCTCATTACGCAATGCCCTGTTTTGACTTCCAGAAAAGCATTTAGTTACCACTATACGAGACAAGCCTATTCCACAAATTACAATAGCGCCACTTCAGGAAAACTACAATGCCTGCCAAAAGTCCTGGCACACGTCGTTAAATTTCACGTAAGCTCAGTAGCACCCCTCTCCCCTTTGAAACAATTTTGAAAAACAGTAGTTTCCAAGCTTAAAACTCGTTCAATTTAACTCTGTCAGCTGGTCTAGATACTAGCTTTTCAACTTTTTTCTGGGGGGGGGCACTTCTGTATGTAACGGCCGGAAACTTCTAACATGCCAAAATCATTCATTGATCTTAGGGTGTTCCAAGGACTTTGAAAAGGGTTGTAGGCTACACCAAACATAATTCTTAACCTTTTTTCCATCCACATCAGCAAAACGCACTAACCTACAAACCGTTTTAAGTTTGCTTTATAATTCGTGAAAACGATAATACAGTTAGCAAATAAATTGAGTACCAGAATGAAAATAAAACAGTTTGAATGTTAAAAACCGACGTTTCGAGCATGTACTCGTTATTAAACTATTTTATTCCCATTCTGGTGCTCATTTTAATTGCTAACTATATAATCGTCGATGAAGTACCACACGCAAAGTATACATTTATAATTCGTGCATGAGAATAAATGCTTACCTAGTGATGCACTCTTTGCTGCAATAGACGGCATTTCTCATTGCTGGCTTATTGCATACGATGCAGTATTTCATTGGAGCTGTGGGCCTGCTTGTCTTTGGTGTAGGTGTGGTTCGTACCTGGAATTTAAACAGCATACTCATTTCATTGAAAGTAGCTTTGAAAAACAAACTTAATCGCCAGAGAGAGTTTTAATCATAATATGCAATTCAATTACTAGGTTTATCGCGCAAAAGAATTTTCAGCTAACCCAAATATCCCAAAATGAAATTCAATTTAGCATTTTTCCGAAATGTTTTATCTAAATATCTTGCTTATATACCTTCTTTTGCATGGGTGGTCCAGCATCAGATTTGGTGCTCTTCTCTTTAGGCACATCAATCGTCACCCTTCTTACTCCATCGACAGATCTCTTTCTTTCGCCACTTTTTAAACTCGAATCACTTTTTCTTCTAACATGAATCTCATCAGCTCCCTTCCCAGTCTCCTTCTTCACATCAGCCCCTTTTTTTACCACCGACTCTTGTTTAACCAATTTCACCTCTGGCTTTTTAGGCGTCTTTTGGCTGGAGACCTTGTCGAAGGTCATTTGGCCTTCAATTGAATCTCTCCTTCTAGCAGCCATTTCAGCTTTCTTTGCTCTCTCCTTCATCTCTTTCAGTTGCCTTTTCCATTCAAGCTCCTTCTCGAGTCTTTTCGCTTCAACAGCCTCTCTATCTTCCTTTTTTGCCTTTCAAAAAAAACAAGGCAACTCAGTAATGTAGATTACTAACTAAAAAAACTACTAAAATTTTATAATTATGCCCAAGCAAATTTAATAACCAAGAAACTGTCCAAATAAATCTTATTTCTTACTTTCATTCGTTTCTTCGCTCTGATCTTCTCTTCTTTGGATTCTTCTTTCAATTTAGAACCTTGCTCTTCCTCTTCTTCTTCCACCACGTCATCTCCCAATTCGTCACTACTAGACGAATGATCTTCTTTTTTGATGATCTGAGCCGCCTTAGCTGCACCACCCGAAGCAAGCTCCTTTTCAAGAGCCTTCAATAATTTCTTTCTCATGTGCGAGGTGTTACTTTCCTGTTATATAGGCAAAAATTCATTTCTTAAGGTTAATTTATAATCATCCATAAAACAAACTTGTTACAACACAAAAACAACTTACATAATAGCAAATTTCGCAATGGTGATGGCCTATCATAACATATGAGGGGGGGGGGGGTCGAAAAAGGTTAATTGAAAGAATTTTAAATTGAATCGGAAAGTTAACAAGCCTAGTATCAGTAGTAGATATGAAGCTGTAAAATTGTTGAAAAACGAATGTAGAACTGAAAAGAAATGAAGAAGAAACCCTTTAGCAAGCTCTTTGGTTTGAAAGCCATGAATACCCATTCTCTCTAGAGAAGTATAAACTGATGCACAATGCTCATCAACAATTTTCTTGGAACAAAATATACACAGCAATAATTAGGTTGTACCCATGGAACAGTACCACATTACATATTTTGACATTGTTTTGAATACTGATTCGTTAAAAGAATTTTGACAGTCGCTTACGTCAGAGCTTCCTTCACTTTTTTCTCGATTTTTAATCCGCTCTTGTCTTTCTTTCTCTTTCAGTTCCTTTGCTAGAGCTTGCAGTTTTCCTGAAACACATACAAAAAGATACGTGAATAAAAAAAAATTCACTTTATATAAATCATGTTCAGCACTATTAAGCAAAAGAACATAATTTTAACTACGCTGCCTGCCCAAATATCAATAAACCGACAGGTACAATGTATTATTCGCAACTATGGGTTTCAACTATGGGAGCATGGGGTTGTAGGGGGCAACACCCTCCTTTTTGCAATAGAAATAAGATGTGACTAGCGAACACATACAAATTGCAAGGTAATCCAAGGACTTTCGGGAGGCATTTTAGCTAAGAAAAATTTGACATTAAACAAAAAATTTACTTTTGCATTTAGGGCACATCCACTCTTCCCCTCTCTTTTCCAATTCCTTGCCATCTGATTGTGTCACACCGACACAGTCCCCATGAAACCAGTCTTCACAGGTATCACAACAAATCATAAACCTGTAAATTCAAAGAGACTCCATAAAAAACTTCAAACAATGTAATATATAAATGAAGAAAAAAAAATCCATGCATGGATTCGGCCTTTACAGAAGGCTCAAGTACATTTGAAGAGTTACATATGTAATAATACTATGATAAACCACACTTTTCATATTTCTTTCTTCAAGGTTTTCACTCACCTGTTTCCATGTGGCTTTCTGCAAATGCACCATGGTCTGTCTGGGTCCTCATCAGGATCAAACTCTGAGCCATCATCACTCAATTCTCCATCATCTAGCACACTTTCATCAGAGCTACTTCCCTCTCCTTTGTCTTTCTTCCCTTCTTCTTTCTTTTTATTTGATCTTTTCCTCCCACTTTCACTTTTTGTAGATTCATTCTTTACAGCACCTTCAAAACAATTTTCTTCACAAGTTCATAAAATGAAAAAGCTTGTGACAAAGTTCTGAGAACATTGAAATCTGAGAACAAACTGGTGACAAAGTTCTAAAGAGATACAAAAGACTACCAATGGCATTTAAAAGTGAAAGTCATCAATGTTAGATCAAGAATTAATATTTTTCCTTTCATTTGCTAGAAGGCAAAGTCAGTGTACAAAAAAGGGTTTTTGCAATCAACTTTTAACAATTTCAAAAACTCTCTGCTTATTCTGCCCTTACATGCCTTGCTTCTAATTATAGCAATCAACCATTATCAATTTTCTATTCTCAAATGCCTTCTTGTAATGATTGTTATCTGATGACATCCATGTAACAAACAAGCCCACGGAGTAAAACAAGGCAAAATTGAAAAAACTCCACTGGTACCTTTGCGTCTTCTGCCAGGTGGTCTTCCCATTCGAGACCTCTTTGTGTCTTTTCCTCTTCCCTTTCCAGATTTTCCATCACTTTCGCTTTCTTTATCTCCTTTCTTTTTCTTTCCAGTGCCTTCACTACCAGATTCACTCTTTGCATTATCAACAGATTGCCTTCCTGAACTTTTCTTATTTGGTGTCTTTTCCTTGCTCACTTCAGGTTCCATGTCCTCATCTAATTTTCCCTGACTTTGACTTTTTGCTGGAGAAAAAGAGCTTTATCAGTTCACCTGAAAAAGTTCCATCTTACAACTACAAATAGTTTTGATTTCATAAGCTATGATTGATGAACCAAAATAGTTTATCAAAACATGAAATTATTGAAAAATAGGAAATTAGCAAACAAATATATACTACAAAAATACCAAATACAAACTTGAAATTGAACAAAAGAAGAGATATTCCAGACCTTAATCATCAAGAAGGCCTTTAATAAGAAAATTAAACCATGAGATACATTGTTTTTTGCACATTTATTTTTAATAATAAGGAAACAAACTCTGCACTTACACTTTTCATTCTCTATTGACTTCTTTGGTCTTCCAACTCTTCTAGTTTCCTTCACGTCAGGTTTGCTTGCCTTACCCTTCGCATTTTCACCTTCTGGGTCCTCATCTTCTTTTTGATTTCTGTTTGACCTGCGTGTAGATGGTACTTCTTTTTCTTCTGCCTTTTCTGGTTCTTTCAACTGAACCTTTGCTCCTTTCTTAGGAGACTGAGTTTTCTTTGCAGCTTTGCCCTCAGATGAATCATCACAGCTGTTCATGAAGAAATGAAAGATGATAAGGAATATCCACTAGAAATATTAGCTGTTTCAATTTTCATCTTTATTGTTGAACTAGTCCACAATATGAACTTTTCAATCTATGTAACTGTGACATGTATTGTGCAAATAATTAGATTCAACAAACTTTATGAAAATAGAGAACATCTTTGTACAGTAATTAAAGGCTGTGAAAGATCTACATAAAAAATTCTGCTGTATAAGGTACCTATAACACTAAAATTCGCAGTAGGCATTTGAACTGTATTTACAAAACAGTTTAAAGAACAAAAAAGGTGCATTTCAAGCCAGCAGTGGCAATAAATTACCAGTCCTGGAACTAAAAACTGAATGGTAATACACTGCAGTGATATAGAACTAAAAAGAATTAAATTACTTGATGCTCAGATAATTATCAATTCCTGTAAAGCAAACTTGAATAAAAGGCAAATGGATTATGACACTTTAACAAAGAGTGGATTATGAGCACAATTAAAGGTTGCAATAATTATCTATTTCATTTTTGGGTTCTATATACAAATAAAACATATACTAATTTGTACAAGAGGCTAGGCTAAAATCAAGAAAACTTCTCCCCATTAAAGTGCTACCCAACTGTTATAACATGCCCCAGAGGGGACCTTTTTATGAATGAATGGTTATTCATATTTTTGCAGACTGCTTTGTTGCAAATAGGATCTAGAACTTACAACATGATTGAAATGCTCACAGTAAAGAGTCTTTATCAGCACCAGGCCTGTGCATCAGCATTAGGATTCTAAAGAACAATACCTTAGTATCTTTAAACAAAATTGTTCTTTTTGTTTTGCTCTTTACACAGACCACAAAGGGCTGATGTTAGTAAAGAGTCTACAATGTCTTGATGCCACAACTATGCATGAAAGCTTAAAAGTCTGAATTTTGTGAGTTTGATATTTAGTGCATTTTTCATCATAAAACTAAAACTTCCCCTCAAAATGACTTTTGTGTTGTATAATGTACAAAAAGTATCAGCGAAGTTTTTACTTATTTCAGTTCAAAATGAATCATATGTTTTGAATTTGCAATTTAGCAGCGGCACCATATCCTTTGTAGTTCTGGTATGCTAGTAGGTATGCAGTTCTGGTATGGTACCAGACTGAAAAGTTTGGTCTTCCCGTTCCCTGTGCAATAATTTTTATCCTTCATTCTGCCCATGAATTATTAAGAATCTGTCGTAGATTCTGCACAAAATATTTTTTTATCTGTCCATGTCCCCCACCAATATTCAACCATTTAAACTTCTGACTTCTAATAGTACAAGGTCTTTCCGAAAGCCTTTACTTCAAATTCTGTGCATGATTTCAAATTTCAAAATCATGGTTCTGGAGTTCCCCATGCAGAAAAATACTTCACTTCTGGGTCAGTATACAGATCTTTTCAGGTTTCAAATTGCAACCTTTTACCAGCCTGCACAGTTATCAAGCTTTCCAGTTTGTTTGATAGTTAGTTTTAATATATGATGTTATAACACACATATGAAAAGATCAACTGGTCAAGGTTTCCAACTAGCTACTTTGAAGTCGTAAAAAACTAATGTCAAAAGCAACACACACTTACATTCTTGCATATCATACATATTTATGATGTGTATAACTAGTTCTGATTTGTATGGAGGCTTAGTTTATTAGTTTGTACTCTTGTACCAATAGGAATTTGTAATTGATTTTTATTGTGTGCAAAGTATTATTGTATGTGGGAACTTTAAAAATAAACTGAACTGAACATCATCTTACCCACGAAGCTGCCGTGGTTCATCTGTACTTTTCTTCTCTTCGTCCGCCTTCTTGCGACCTCTTTTTGGGCCTGTTATTTCAAACAAGCGCACAGTTTTCCTGCCTGACCTTCTAACAGGGGGATCTGCTTCTTTGTCTTTATTCGTAGAGCCTTCAAGTGAATCTACGCTTCCTTTTGAAGTCTCGTCAAGTTCTGGAGTAAACCCGTCCACATGGCCACCTATAAATTCTGTGACCACGGCAGGTTCTGCATCTGCTTGAGGTGCAGCAAACTTTCCTCCCTTATCGAGCTGTTCTTTGATCTTCTGGAGCCCCATTTGGATGGCACTGCTTTGTTTAAGAGTTACAGGATTGTTTCCTTCTCCTTCTTGCTGCATTTTACGTCCTCTTTTGCTAGACAAACCAACTAAATTTTGTGCAGTAATTTCTTCACCTGTACCGCCATGACACGGCCTAATTCCTGCTGCATGGTGAATCTGCGCATGCTCACTGTCATGAAAACATGGGTCAGTATGTCCTCGATTCTCCGGAACACTTTCGTTCATAGTTGTGGCCTTTTCTTCGAGAATATTCTGCTGTGCTGGAGTCAGTATTTCAGTTATTTGCTTCACAGTTTCTTCTGTCAACAATTGTTCACCTTGATCACCTAGTGAATGCATGAAACTATCAAAGCTTCCATCGTAATCGTCGTTATCTTGGTCTAGGCCAAGAAGTGGGTCGGACATACGAACATCGTTCATTGGCCAACCTGAGGCGGAAAGATTTGTGAATCCGTCAGAGGATGATTGACCTTCCATCCTACAATCTACATGATCATCAGACAATCATATCTTTTATCCAGTGTAGGCCATAAACAGACGGCAAACAATAACTAGTGCTAAATAACTATTGCTAGTCTTCTTCTAGGCCCAAAACAGCAAACAATTTTGTAGTAGGCCAATTATCAAATATGAATGTGATTCACAGAGTCATACGAAGTTCAGATGCATTGCAAAAATAAAACTTTCAGTGCTGCGAATGATTATTGATCAATTTTGCTGAGTGTACTTCTATCTTTTGTTTTCTTTGCCAGTATTGTCAAGTGCTAGCGCCATATTTACACGTGACTCACAGCAACATGAGGCGCCAAATCAAATACTGGTTGTTTTACGCTGCCCATAATGCATTGGGGATAAATAAACCACCTGTGGACCCCACAACCCTTCACCTGATGCTCAAAAAAGAATTTCTTAATTTTTTAATATCTTCTGTTCTCATGTTTAAACTATGTTTCGTGGTCACGGCTCGCGTTGTTAATCATTTAAACGTCGAAAACTTTTGGTCCTTCTTTTACAATGTTTTGGTACAATTTTTACAAATATTGCAAGTTATTTAAATCTTGTGATTTTTTGTCATTTTGGGCAGGCTTTGTTGTACTACAGATATGAATCGTTCAAAAATTAAGTCATACTAAACTTGTCAAGGAAGGTCAGAAAATGGCTCCTTTTGATACCCAGCCCCCTTACCTCTCTTTCCGACATGCTCAATTTTGACTCAAATCAAACTAAATCCATCTTGATGAAGCTCATCAACATTTCTTTCCGCTGCACCTACTATATCTTCTGTCGTCGAAACGAACCATGGCTGAGCCCCGAACTGATTGACTTGTAAATACTGTAATGCAGATAAGCCAATTATATGATGCCTGTAAAAGCGCGTCGTATAATTGTAAATTTGAAATATATTCGATGAAAATGAGATGTTTAAAAATTATTATTGTTATCATTATTATTGTTATCATTATTATTGTTATCATTGTTATTAATGTTCATATTATCATTATTATCATTATTACTATAATTATTGTTATTAAATTATTATTTTTATTATTATCATTAAATATACAATATGATATATATAGGAACACGAAAAAAGCATCAAAGGCTATCCAGCAAGAACATAAAGACCGTCTGCAAAACATTCTAACTTCCCAAAAATCTTTATTATCACATCTTTTTAACCAGGATCTTACACAAATAAACAAAATTTGGTCCAAGGTGCAAGATAGCATACCTCAAAATATTTTCAATTTCACTTTAAGGTAACTAAACAATACCCTTGCTACACAGAAAAACTTGAAAAAGTAGAACTTGAGCCAGACTTGTAACTGTTCTTTCTGTTTTCTGCCAGAAACCCTCCTGCACGTTGTTGCTGGCTGCAAGACATATCTGGAACAAGGCCGATACACCTGGCGTCATAACTCAATCTTAAACTTTCTAGCTACGTCTCTTAAAGCCAGGGCCTCCGACGAAGGGGCTTGGCCCCCCACATTTTTGCAAAACAATAGAGTTTTTTTCAAAATCTTTTGTTACTGATGTTAAATTTTCCCTTGGCCCCCCACTTTTCAACCTTTGTCGGAGCCCATGAAAGCTGTTAATGAATCTACCATCTACGCTGATTTACCTGGCTATCTTTCACCATCAATCATAACTGGAGAAAACCTTCGCCCAGATCTTCTCTTGAAGACTAACAACAATTACCTATACATCTTAGAGCTTACTGTTGGTTTTGAATCCAATCTTGACAAAAATGCAACAAGAAAACACAGCAATTATGCTTCTCTCCTATCTAATTTACAGCGGAAGTTCAAATGTGTCTCTTTTGTGAATCTTTCTATGAGCTCTCTTGGCATCTTTGGCAGTTCCTGCATCTCCTTCTTCAAAATGTGTGACTTTCTCTCCATCGATCAGCAACAAAAACGGTATCTCATTTCCAAACTTTCCAACATTGCCATCCGTACTACGTACTACATATTTTGTTGCAAAAATAAGACATGGACAAATCCGGAATTACATCCTTTTTAACTTTGGTTGTTTTATTTTTTTCAGTTTTTCCTTTTACCTTACGATTGTTATAGTATTTTTTGTAAAACCAGGCTAGCCAATTGCAAATTAACTTGTAATAGTGAGATTTGTAATTGTAGTTTAAGTTGAATTGAAAATGAAATGTTTCCATTACTATTATTGTTATTATAATTATTATTAAATTGTCATCAAAAATATCTAAGGAGGGTAGCCCATTCAGCTGTAGCTTCTTTACAAGGGGCCCTCCATCCAAATGCAGAATACATTATATAAATCTAAAACTAAAATTAAACTTAAGTACAATTACAATTTCAGCTAAAAACCTATTTACAATGAAATGAAAAAGGTAAAGAAAAATAAATAAAGAAATAAAACTCCTTTTTTATTAAGAAATGCTGCTTTTAAAGGCAACAAGGTTAAATGCACTCTTTGATTCAGATGATAGGCTGTCATACATTGTCGATCCCCTATAACAGAAACTTTTTGTCCATTTGAAGACATTTTCTTCGGTGAACTGAGGTAATAGAAGTATTCCTTAGATTATAAGAAGAGTTAGTCGAGTTTGAAACAAATACATAAAAGAAAAATTACATACAAAATGCATAAAAGAAAAATTACATACAAAATGTATAAAAGAAAAAATTGATTGTAACAACCTTGTTATTATTGAATAGAATTACTCTTCGTTTGACACCTTTGCAAGGGGGTTTGGCATAAAAACAACGTAGTTTCCTGGTTGTTCCTTTTTGCCTATTGGCAAGTCCCGGAGGTTACAAAATGGTTCCTACGCAGTGACGTAACGGAGGCATCTGGGGTCCTATGGAAAACAATGTGACTGGGGCCCCTATTTATGGACTGCAAGAAAGTCCCGTCCAGCGCTATAGAACTTGCCAAACACAGAAACAAATTGTAATTTAAAATTTTTTCTCATTATATGGGGGGAGCTTGAGTTAAATAAAAGCTTCAGTTGATGAAATTTAAAAGTTATTGAAAATAAAGTGAACTGTCGCGGGTTCTTAATACTTCAATATAAAAGTAATTTGGGGGCTCTTTTTGGTCAGGGTTAATCGAAATAGGTTTGCCTAAACTGCGTTACGCCACTGTTCCTACGCTCATCTCAGAGTGAGTTCCTTGGTGCACAGAACTCAGTCAGTTTCCAAACATATAGCTAAAATTAGTGTTGCCTGAAATAAGTAATGATTAAACTAAAAAAGTGAAACCTAGAAATTATAAGTTTTATCGCAGTCTCTTCAAAATCTTAAAATAGCCAGTTTGATGCAATTCGTTCGCCCTTTTCCTTCCTTCTTCTTTGTCGGTCGTGATTTGGAAACGACTTTCCAGACGCTGTGCTATCCAAACGACTTTCCGATCCTAGAACTCGGAAATAAACATTTTGTGCCTCGGAAGTAAATGAATTGAAGCAATGAAATTTTTGTTTGGAACACGGATGGAACTCAGTCAAAACAGCATCTGGAACTTGGAAATGATACAATATTTGTAAGAGAGGTATGGCGACTGCAGATGTCTTATTTTCACGACCCTCGCAGCATTCTAGCAGATTATTAAGCGTTTGAGATAAAACCAGGAAGTATCGTTAATTTTCCAGGAGCATTAACTACCTTTATTTTAAACTGCAGTCGTTGATGGCAAGGGATACCTATGTTCAGACGGAACACCATATTAAGAAAAATAGGCTGGTGTCTACGTAGGCAAAACAAAAAATTGCGAGCAAAACAAAAGGGAAAAATTTGCTGTGGCATCCAAGACAAACAAGAGGGTATTGAGAAAGGGAGGAGGTTGCAGAAATTTTCACAGAGGCAAAGAAATCTAGAATCTAGAGTTAGTGAGCGGATAGTACCTATTCAAAAATTCACTCTGATTCTCAAGGAAATTCTTAGTAATCCTTGTAGCTCTTTCCTTAAAAAGCAGACGAATTTTAGCTGGCACCTATTCTAAATTAAATCTATAATAGGATTAGAGCAAGCGCAATATCAACCTCAGGCTCAACTTCATTATCAGAAAATGGTGGAAAACTAGAGGATAACTGCTTTAAATCTTCCAATTTTGGTTAGAATAGAATTGATCACTCTAAAACAAAGTTTCTTGGATTAGCTTCGATATAGATTTTTCTGCGAGAATTAAGGAAACGCGTAGTATAAAAACAAACGTAAGCTGCCTTCGTTTCAATACACGTCATTTGCTTCAGGTGGCATGTTGATGAGAAGGAAGGACGTAATGTGAGAATAAAGGCAAGTACACAATGTTTGACAAGTAATTACTCAAGTTTGTAATAAGAAACATAGTCTAGGGCCTGATACTGAGATTGCTTCATGTTCACCGCTTTATTGAATTGCAAGCAAACTTATTAACATGGTTTCTTAACTTTTGTAACTCGAAGCATTATATGAATTGCAAAATATCTCGGACCCTTTTTTCAGATTTATCAATTTTGGAAACATTTTGGACAAAGCATTAAACGAAATTTTGAATCAAATATTTGAGAACATGTTCTTACATCATGTAATAAAATTTAGCTTTTTGTAGTATACCTGTAACAGAAAATCACTCACATAGTTTAACTAAAAAGCTGAAGATAACATTCCATAATCAAATTTATTTGTTTATGTCTCTAATCCTGGCTACTACTTTACTGTTATTCCCTATTTTTAAGACTTATCCTGTTGAACAGGTAGGTGTCCCTTGAGCTAAAAGGGAAAGCTACGGTTTCATTATTCTGAAAAAATACTGTCAAGTTACGAAAGCTCGACTGAATGCAGTGAAAAAGCGTATACGATATTTTAGAAAGTTATTATATGCCCCTTTCGTGTTGCTGAAAACAGGTGAACAGGACGTGCAGGACGCTAAATAAAAATATTTCAAACATCACTGTCGAACCAAAAGAGAAAGAAAGGATGCTTGTCGCACACAATGCACAGCATCAAAATTTTCTATCGCAGTAACTGTTCTCTTTGTTTTGATACCTAGACGACAAAAGTCTAATCAATATTTAATGTACTATGTTTCCAATCGTTAACAACATTCCATCCTAGTTAGCGCCTCAAAAACTTTTTGAGTGAAGCTGACAGATCCGAAAATCCTAAATTTTCGTGCAGTAAAAATATCTAGCTCTTGACAGTGAGATTTTAAAATCAGTATACAGTTTTTATAAAAAAACCTGGTCGAAGTGGTCTATCTTCATTGAGATACGAGATTTTATTCTGTTTCACCCCCAAGGCTGCAGCATGTTTATACCTGCACAACAAACATTCGAATCTCTATGTTTTAGCTTTTATGAAAGAACATCCTTGTACTGCATGTGAAAATAAGATTTGAGTTATTTCCAGAACCATGCTCTTTAGGACAAGATTCAACCGAACCCCGTCCCTCCCCTCCTGCTGCTCTTGCTTCTTGCAGCACATCATTAAATTTAAAAAGCAAACCGGCTGGCTGATTAAGTTTAACGAAGTTCATTTGAGCTTTGTTAGCAAGCTCCCTGCATCTGCATGCGTATATTTTATAGCCTCGTTTGCATAGCATTCAGCATTCTTAATGCGCAGATAGCATTTTCTTTCTGTGACAAACCCATGTGCCATTTAACGAAATTCGTTCAAATATTGATTTACACAGGCACGCGGTAGGCTGTCTATAGGTACACTGTATAAAAGAGAGGAAAGATTGGATAAAAGCTAACAATTTAATCAAATCGAAGAAGTTTGTTTTGTAAAATTGAATTACGAACTTTTTGTTAAACACAACACAGTACATAAAAACAAAATGTTTTCGAATCGGCTTTCATGACACATGCGCCCTTAAAATAGCTCTTAGATTGGACAATTTGACGATGAAAGCTTTCACCTGCAGGTTGCTCGCATCTTTAAATACATTCAGTACATTCAGAGAGACTTCGAACGCCAGCGTGACTGCATTCACAATCGTTAATGCTACATGGGGACATGCTCATACGATTAGCGTACAAGTTATGTAATAACAATGGGCAGGTAATAGTCGAAACTTGTTAGATGAAGTTCTGCTCAATAGGAAAGTTACGACAACTCAGGCGCGAGAGGACAAAATGAAGAATTTGCACATTTGTGTTGATAAACAACCAGGCGTTATCATTTTGTCAAAATTCAAAGACATTTGAGGTCATTAGCGGACGTTGCAATCAAATTTTGTACAGTTTGGTCGTTAGTTCCCACTTCGGGTCGTTCATAGAGATGATTTCAATCGCCATCTGGTAGAAATTAAATTTTGTATTAAAATGGGCTCCCAGGTAAAAGTTCTGGAGATATGCACCGGCGTTGAGAAGGATGGTTGTTGCGGGAAGTAGATACGGGTTCTTGTAGATGCCTGCCCTAAAGTAGGATTATTAAGATTTCAAGCAGGATTAAATACATTAGAATCACAAAGCTGTTGCATAAGGACGAGATATAGGATACAAAGCTGTAATATTTGAATCGCAGACAATATACATGGACGAAGGGAGGATATGCTATTAATACATACCGTCTCCACAAAGCCGACCGAACTGCTGTCGAGATTCAGTTTCTAAATAGATCATCAACGGTCGATAGTGAAAGTGAAGGAAAGCCATTATCAATGGTTTTGCGCCTACGGATTCTGCAGAATTCATGCTCGGATCTGAAAAGTCACGCTGACCGAAATTAGGAAAATCGATGGAGAATTTCGCATCATACTGGTAAAGAAAACAAGGTAAATTATAATCGAGACTTAGAATGCTGTCAATTTCTTGAAAAAATATTAAACTGCTTGCAATTTTGATCATTTACTCAAAAGCAAAATTTTGCAAAACACAGCTTCCTTTGATAAACTGCCAAATGTGTTTGCAACCAAGTTCTGAATTTTTAAGCTAATGTAACGAGAGGTTTTAGCGTTTCCCTGGGGATAAGGTTATCGCAGCGAAAAAACTTCTCGCTAGCATCTATCGTAATATACAGTGTTGAGTAAGAACCAAACTTGTTCTACGCTGTCACGTTTAGGTGGGTTGCATTGCTTTGCGGAGCATTTAGGGAAGAAGGTAGGCCATCTAAGGGCTCATCTTTGTTGTAAAAGGTGTCGAGCCTTTTCACAGGGGTAGATAAACCCTATATGTCTCCCGCATCCTCTGTGGCACCAACTTTTCACTCAATTCGTCTATGCCTCCAACAAATTCATTGCTTTAATAATTGCTGTCCTTCTATCAGAAAAAATTTCTCTCATTCAATTTATAAATGAATATTAACATTTGCAGTTACAATGAAGCACTCATTCGATTCGTTTTACACTGTATACATTGTCAACAAAGTACTACCATTCAGGGGGGTTTGGATATAATTTCTTATAAGCTTTTCGTTATCACTTGCCTGAGTAACAAGGCACATATTTAGAGCCAATCTGTGTGTACTGATTAAATCTGTGTGACAAAAAAATAACGGGGCTCACGTACCAAAACCGGGGCTTAATAACCTTTTCATTTTGCAACCAAGGCCCACTGACAAGCTTAGGTCACAAAGTTTTCAGCAAACTTCAGAATTTCAATTCAGTTCTAAATAAGACAGGAAAAATTATATGTGGCTCAAGAGAAAGTTCGAGTAGACGGCTGTTAGATCCAAACTGGTGGGGATAGTAAAATAATTTCCTCAAACAACTGGATTGCATCAAGTGTCATCTAACCTTAGACTCAGAGCCTATATAATTGTTTCAAGGCAAGGCCAAAATAGGTAAGGCCCCAATTTGCTTTGAGGGGATGTAGAGATGATGACACGCCTGCCTGGTACTGATTCGATCACAGCTTCCCACTAAAAAAAATGTTTGCTTCCTTTCAAAAGCAGCGAAAATTGACAATATTCTTTAAAGTCGATAGGTGTGTTCATAAAGAAAACTGCGATAGTGTATAACAAAAAGATGCCTATTATGTTCTTATGAAACTATTTAACAAAGATCCTTTGTGGCCAGAGCCTTGTGAAGACATAAAGCTTCCTGTATGAATCTTGTACTTCTTGGTGGAATGAAAAACATAAACAAGACTTAAGCGCCATTCGGTCTTAAATGCACAATTAATAGGGATAAAAAGAAACTGCTAAAGAAATGATGATAAATATTGATTTTTCAGCAGAAAGAGAAAAGAACACAATTGCAGACCAACTATCTAAGGCAAATATCGGCTTTGAAACTGTTATTCCCTTCAATATAGACAGAAACCGATGTATGAATGTAAAGACAAAAGCAGTTACAAATAAAATGTCGATGACACGCCATAACGCATCAAGAGAACATTTTCTCCATGGCTGCGACGGCGAAGTGAAAGGCCTAGCTGCTTATGTTCCAGCTTATACATATGGTATTTTCTTGATTTTACAACTCGTACTTTCGGTGTTCGGTAACATTTTAGTATGTCTCGCAATAATTCGCTTTCATCACTTGCGAACCCTTACGAACTCGTTTATATTCTCCCTTGCGGTTACGGATCTACTAACGCCGTTCGCACGCGTGCTGTCGATTGCCATCGCAATGTTCCGACAGCAATGGGTATTCGGCTGCGTTTGGTGCCAATTATCTTCTGTGCTTGGGGTTTTCCTTTGCGCCTCGTCGATAATGCATTTGTGCGCAATCAGCATCGAACGGTTTATCGTTATTCGCTGGCCGTTGCGACAACATCACTTCCTAACCAAGAAGCGAGTAACAGTCGTGTTGGTGAATATATGGATAACGGCACTTGTTTTATCATTGTTTCCTTACTTCGGAATCGTTCACTTGGCATTTAACGCGGAGCTTCTCGACTGCGAGATATCTTGGAACAAGAACCCAGTAATGGCAGTTCTACTAACTTGCTTCTTTTTTCTACTTCCACTACTTTTAATAACTGTTACATACTACTATATATTCCAAGAGGTAAAAGTACAAACTAAGAAAATCAGCTCGTTGCAAATAACACAATCGCCAGACAATGGAAAAGAAAGAAAGGTGACAATAAGCTCCAAACTGCGCATCGGTCGAATTCTTCGTCAAGAGCTTAAAGCAGTTAAGATTATCGTCGTTGTTATCGGATTGTTTTTCGGCTTGTGGTCGCCTTTGTTCGTTGTTACGAGCATCCGTGCTTACGCGCCTGACACAGTCTCGGGTGATGTTCAGCGTTTGGCATTCGCGTTGGCGTATTTGAATTCAGGTTGCAACTGGATAGTCTACAGTATAATGAATAAGGAATTTCGGGCCGTGTTTAAACGCATGTTGCTTCCGGTATACTCCTGTTTCTCTAAACGTACTCGGCATTCAACGGGACAAGTCGGTTACGATTTGCCTGATGCTTGCGCAAGAAGCGCTGTTTCAGTGAAATCTAAGCCCTCCACCTCGGGATCATTAGCACAGCTTCAAGCACAGGCTCCTGCAAATAACATCAACAACAACTTTTTAGCTGCGACACCCAAGCATGTTCCTGTTAAAGTAGCAGAAAAAGATCGCCAAGGTTTCACTGCCGGAGAAGATCGCCAAGGTTCCGCAGCAAAAAAAGACCGCCAAAGTTCCACTGCAGAAGAAGATCGCCCGGATTCCTCGACAGTAGAAAATTTTCAAGTCTCTACTTCAGAACATAGGGACCAACTAGAGGTGACCAAGTCACAGACTTAAAGAAACTGTAATATTTACTGTGTGTTTTCAGTACAATTCTAGCCTGAATCATAACGGAATAGAAATATGGTGCACCTCAAGATTACCCTTTAGGACATTTTTTGTTCATTTCACAAGTAACTCGAGGTTTTGGAAAAACAGTAATAAACTAACAATACAAATTCCAACATTCTACCTTAGTGGTATTATACTACTGGTATATAAAATATAATGAAGAAGATTTGAGAAATTTGGTAAACTACCGTCCTGAAACTCGTTACCTAGCTATCAACGCTATAAAATTTACCAAATCATAAAAATCAGTTGAAATTTTCATAAAAATTACCCAGTTTCATCGAGTTGTTGTAAACAATGAAATATAAACTTTAAGTTTTTAAAATTATCTCAACTTTAATGAGGGTGTCTAAAAAACCCTTATAAAAAACCCTTAAGGGACCAGTTCACTTGTTTGCAAATGAAAAGCACTTGAAAGCAACAGATTATGCAGGAATGAAAGGATTTCGAGAATAAATTGGCTCTTTGATTCTGTGGAAAACATGAAGCACATTCCACTGCCGAGATCGTTTAGTTTATCATATAAAGCAATGCCAAAGGGGGCAAATTAGAAATACAGACAAAAAAGGTTGGAAATTACAAAAGCCTGTACGACATCCTTGTTCACAAACGGAGTGTTTTTCAATGCTTTTTGTCGCCGTTCTTGGTGTTTGTTAAAGTTCATGTCACGATTCTTTTGTCACCGTTCTTGGTATTTGTTGATATTTATGTATCAGTCGACAATGATCTACATTGTTCTAGGTTTAAACCTCTTTTGAGGAAAATAAAATGTCAATGACCATTCGATCAACTACCGAGAAATCTATGTGACAAATCAGTGTGGCAATCTATGTACAGCCAGCATGCCAATTCCATTAGGCCCTTGTCCTTTCAGGATTAAAAATTAAAAACTCAAAGAATAAGTCTTACAAGACAATGGCTTGCTGAAAATTTGTTCGATGTACGTGATGTGTTTCGAATCTCTAACTACTAGGCCAGCTTTGAAGTTTATTCCCAGTTGTAAAGAATCAAAACCTCCATAAGGATTTAGATACATTAAGAAGCAGCTTTTCTCTAAGATTAAGCTCGTCATAAATAAAGTTCAAATTGGTTCAAATAACAGGCTTATAGCGGCCTTGTGTAATAGCCCTGCCCGGCTAATTAGAGTTAAAACATTTAAATAAACACGCAAACTTCGGAGATTCTTCGTTATCTATTCCGTCTATTAAAAAATACTACACAGTCGATGCGTTCGCAGTTCTTTCTGTTCTCGCAGTCTTCTATTTCTAATCCTTTTTCAAATCAGGGGGTTGCATCTAGATCAATTTTTACAATGTTAATTCCTAATATCCACACTTGCTGCACCATTTTATAGTAGCTTTAACCCTGATTTTGTCAAGCATACTATCAAGACGCAGTAATAGAAATTTTTATGATATCATTGATCAGAAATAGTTACCCTGGGAGTTTTCTTCTTGAATCCATGATGGATATGGCAATAACAGGAATGCAGTCACGGCAATCGTTCTAGCAGTAGCACAGCACAGGTTGTGATTGGAAAACACATGAGGAAATTTTATTTTATATGAATTCTAATTTAGAATGTCTACTACCAAAAGAGATGACCTTTTTAAATTTGCTCAGCACTTCCTGGCCCGACCTAGTCTCTTGGGTATGAACCGTTGTCAATTTAGCTCTCGACATAAAAATCTCGCCTGCCCCCGTGCTAAATCTTTGATTGCCGGATTTCGGGATAACTTTTTTCATGTCCCTACAGGCTCAGGGAGAAAGCGTAATATCCATTAATGATGCAAAGGACGATACATGAACTCTGCATATAAGTTATATGATAAAACCACATTATAGACACATTATGTTCTTTGATAACAAAATCAGCTAATGAGTTTTTAGAGAAAGTTTAGACGAAAATATCTCGTATAAACCAAATCAGTTGTATCTTATGTACCAAAGTATACAGATTATAAATAAAGTAAAATTGCCGAAGGAGAGCGAACAGCTTTTTGAGACAAGAGATACTGTCGCTTTAATGAGATTTTCATTTCCTTGAGGCTTTTCATAAAGAGTTTAAACAACATAGAAGATAAAATTTGGGACAGAATTTCTGTCCGTCATTGGAAGGTGTCCATTATTGACAGGTTTCCGTTATAGAGAATTGTGAGTTATTGGAATGTGTCCAATATTTCTTGGTGTCAGTTATTGGGAGTCGCCCATTACTGGGAGGTGTCTGTTGTTTGTAGATGTCCGTTATTTGTAGGTGCCCGTTTTCGAGTGTGTTCTCTATTGCTTGGTGTCCGTTATTGGGAGGTATCCGCTATTGCACGTGTCCGTTATTTTAGGTGTCCGGTATCCGGAAGGTGTCTATTATTAGGAGACGTCCATTACTTGGAGATGCCCCTTGCTTGAGGATTCAATGCAAAAAGACCGACAACAGTACAAACATTTTTCAGCAACATCTCTCAAATATTTCTCTTAAACGCACAGACGAAACAAAAATATAACCCTAATAAACATTGCTATGAGAAGGACAAAAGCGTCACCTCAAACGAATGGTTGAAGAGCAGGAGTTCGTTGCCGTGATTCTGAATTTCAAGCCGCGCCAAAAAATTTTTAGACAAGAAGGCTCTAATTAATGTTGAATCAGAGGCAGCTAATTGCTCAAGTGTGAGATATTCTTATTCAATATTCTGCAGCCGGGCAACGAATCGGGTCGCTCATCACATAGCCAAAACATGATGCGAACAACAATTTGTCGTATTTAATTTCCCTGTCTACTAGGTTTTTTTGTTTATCAAAACGAACGATCTGTAGCCCAGGGCACACCTTGTGATGCAAGGATAAAAGTACTTTCAACTCATAGAAACAAAAGAACAGAGTGTAGCTGAACAAGAATATGCTAAAATGAATTGCCTATCTGACTTCACTACTTTCCCTATTGCCGAAGATGACATAACGCAAATCTTGACAATGCTTCATATCCCCTTCATTTACAGTTTTCAATCGAGCGCCTTTTTGCATGCTATAGAATCATCAACATAAAAAGCAACTTGATTCCATTTTCCGAAAATAGCAGGAAAATCTCCAAGAAAACAGATAAACATATTCTATGTGGAAAGCAACACATTAACCTTGTAACAAGCTATTCATTTTCTACCCCATGATGTTCGGTGTATGCATTAGCCCTTTATAAGCAATTGGTGTTCTATGTTTTAAATATAAATCTTACAAAAAACAAACAGGATTACATTGCAAAAGAAGCTCGTATCATTGTTTTTTTTCTTCTATCCTTTATGCTGCTATATATTCTACGACCTAACATTTATATTCATAATTTGTTTATGTCATCAATACGTCTTCAGCTGTATGAACCCATGTTGAGCATCCGTTCTTCATAAGCATCTTTTGCACGTTTCACCTACAGTTTTAAGGAAAAATGTGGAATAGAAGATAATTTCCAGTAAATTTCTATTTGTGCCGATAAAATGAGACTCGCATTGAACGTGCTTTGTCAGGTACATTCTCTCAGTAACTGCAAACATTACAATACAATGACTGTTGATATTTTGAATAACAATTCGTTTATATCTGAGCCGGATGAGCTGTTAATACGAAAAACCTGAGAAATTCATGGCCCCGCGGCTACTTTGCAAACGGTTTTGTGAGAGAAGATGCAGCTGGCTGATAGACAGTGCTAACAGTAAAAACCCTGTAAACAGAGTTTGTCAACAATGTACCGAGGCTAGTCTCTCTTTGCCAGATGCTAAAATTTCTAGCAAATAGCTAAATCAAAGCTTTTTGCATCAGAGAACATAAGTCCTGATTGTTGAGGTGGTGAAACACAAGGTGAGCTAATAGTCTTCAACTTTGTATTTGAAGTTCCAAAAATTAACCGTATCTGTTATAGTGGTACACAAATTTGAGGGCCTGGCACTCTTCAAAGCTCAAAGTATAATCTTTGTAAGAGCCAGTTGTTCTCTAAAAATGTAAACGCAGGCATGCAGATAGGATTTCATCAGATGGGAACTTTTTTTCAGCAAAAAAGCATCCCTACTCCTAACAAAACGTGTCCGTTGTTTGAATCCAAAGGGGAGTCATCGCCCCCGATGTCCCCTTTTCCCTAACTGGCCACGGACACTAAATTAAAATAGATTGTACTCGCTCAATCTTCAAAGATGGATCTGAAAAGAATAGTTTTCAAAAAGGTTTACATAGACACATGTGCATTCGGATTAAACAAAAAACGCCGCGTTTATATAGGCGTTGCACTACGAAGCCAAATAAGCACGTACTCCAGCACCAAATCGAGATTGTTTCCACCTACAGTGCTTATGCTAACTCTGTCAAGATACATTGCCCCATGAAAAGCCGAAATTAGGTTGGCTTGTTTCCAGTAAAAAGAGCGTGAATCATGGATCGCCAAGAAGCTCCTGACTAGCAAATAGTGGACCCTGCACCAAATTTCTTGAAAAATATTTTTGCTTTGATGGAAATCTTGTATGTTATTTGCAAGGGTGAATTGTTCTTCGGCCACTGCAAGACTTTGAAAGCTAATTATGAGGCAAACGTCTCAAAGCTGTATTCTCAGGCTTTAAGTCTCCTGCTATCAAAGTTTTAATTAGCTGGAAAGAAGAACCTGTGACCTTCCGAATTGATGGAAAATCTGCATACCGGGGCGGTGACCTGATATATAATACTGTCAATTCTTTTGAATAAAACAACACGAACCCTCAAAATCAAGCGAAATTTGGACATTGAAGAAAAGGAACTTAAACCTTTGATGAAACTTGAAATCCATTGTGGGAGTTTGAAAGTTTAAAACGATTATTTCTCATGCAAAGGACTATCAAGAAAGCCTTGGATTGTAAAAAGGTCACATAAAGTCTCAAACGATTGATTCAAGCACTGTGAACAAACCACAAGTTACGTAGCCTTGACACATAACGGCTGTCAACCATTTACATCTAAGCCCGAAATCAAATATTTTCGCGCAAAAAACACGCGTAATTTCTTGCGACGACAAAGTTAAGAAAGAAAAAAATAGGTCTTATGGAACATTGTGCGAATGAACAAGGTATAGGCCACAAACGCCGCCTAACGTTATGAATATAGTAAGGGGATAATAATAAGCTATCGGAAACCTAAGTATTATAAAAAACGGAGTGGTGTAAATAGGGGTTGTAATTGACTTGATGTGAGTAAGAAGGCTGATGCATAAGCGTAAAATTGCTTTAAGAAAAGAAGCATTTAAATGAAAGTTATCGCCAAAAGGAAGCTCTGTTTCACGTAAGTAAAGGCCTGGCCAAAATAGGCAACATTGTCATATGACATCCATGTTCACAAAATGTTTCCTAGTTTGGCAAAATGTTTCCTAGTTTGGCAACCACGTCTTATGACAAATTCGATTAAAAAGTTGTCACACAAATGTTTGAAGATCGTCAAACATTTCGTGTGACATTTTGTGTTTTTTTTATGTGACAGTCTGGCATGATGTAATCACACAATTCAATTCAATGCGGGTAAAAATCAGTAAAAATCCATGTGCAGTTAGTGAAGCTTGCGTTAAACATGGCGACAAACAGCAACTCAAAGCATATGTGGACAGACGAAAACATACAGAAAAAGATAGATTTGGTCAAAGAAAGATCTCTTGTGGGATACTGCTTACAAGGACCATCATGACCGGCCTGTGTGCCTTCTATGGCAAGTTTCTTTAACAAAATTAGGCAAGCCCATTTGCTCCCTCTTCCGTACCCATCGCCATATTTTGTAAGATGCTTTTGTTTTCTGGTTTTCTTCATTAAGAGCTTCACTAATAACAAAATACTAGCAACTGATTTACGCTTCATCTCCATTTTCCCACCAAAAATTACGAGCAACAACAACAACAACAACAACAACAACAAAATGTTGTCAGAGATTGGCTGACAAGTTGGGCCACGAAAATTTCATGTCACAGAAACAAATGAAAAACTCTTTTCGTTCTTGAAATAATGTCATATGACAATGTTTCCTAGTTTTGCGGGCCTCTGTTGAAGAAAACAAAAAACCCCGAGAAGAGCTCAAAAACGGTAAGAGGGTTGAGGGCAAATGAAAGCAAAAAGAAATAACGTACTACGCCCAAATAAACCCCGCCTTAATTTAATTGTTTTTCTAAGGAGGATTTTCAAAGCTTGATGAAATTGTCCGGAGGAAGGTAGAACATTTCACTGATCACTGAACGCTCTATTTTGGCCGTAGTCACAAACTACCGTGCTGCATAGACAACCAGCGCCTACGATATGAATATGGGGGGGGAGGGGGGGGGGAAGACACCTCTTAAAAAAATTCCGTTGCTAAAAGGAGGGCTCATCCACTCAGTCGGTAAATTGCAAATACCCTTTCAAAGGCCCTGCTCCTGAAATTAGGTTACGTCATAGCTCCTGGAATTAGGTTACGTCATAGTTCGGGCATCCTGATACATCCAACTATTCATCCATCTTCCTTCCTTTTCCAACTTATTTTGTAAAAGAACGTATTGGTTAGGCAGACAAAATGAGGCAGAAATGAGAACAGCAACACGCTTGAACTCAGAAGCAATACGACATTCCCCTCAACCACCTATAGCAAAATTTAGAGTACCGCATTTTGTCTGTAAAGCCTAGTAAGAAAATGGTTTAATGCTAATGCAAAGATACCGTAAATCCTTGAATCTGCCCCCCTGGTGGCCTATTTATTTTTGATATTTTTGGATTGGGGCCTATTCGAAGGGGGGGGGACCATATAAAATTATTGTTGACATTAAGCAGGCATTATCAAAAGACCTTTTTTAATTTTAGTAGGAATTTCTTTATGAGCATTTGATTAGTTATTATAAAAAGTATGAATTATTGTGGTAATTCAATAAAACGCTAAAGGCAACCCCAGATGGAAAAAAGCATCAAATTAAGGGGTTCTACTTCGAGAATTTAAGGTAGCAGTGGGGGCTTATTGACAATTTTTAGTTCTAGGGTGGAGGCTTATTCGAGGCGGGCTTTTTCGAGGGGGAGGGAGGCAATTCGAGGATTTACGGTAGTGATAAATTTATGAACACGCTACAGTTACATTTAAAGCATATTAGGAGTGACGAATGTAGCCCAATTCAAAACCACGACCTTTTTACCTGATCCACTTTCGTGAAATGCAAAATTCAATTTGATGGCTTGATCCAATATTTCAGTTCATATTATGCCAAGCTCAAGCAGATTTGATTTTGAGGAATGAAAAAAATTTTGTTTCAAACGCTGCAAAGCTCACCATCAGAACTCCCACTAAATCAATTCTTAAAAATGAAATTTTAAATTCTACTTCCAAGTGAATAAAGGTGTTTAATAATTCATCAATGACATCCTGTGTATGTCTTTACCTAAATTCTGCCTTTATTTATATCGTAACTCTGCCTCTGGCATAGCTCTGCCTTTATTCATATCATTCGCAGGTCATTTAGGTGCCACCAATTTTCAGGTATTTGATTCAAGACTTAAGTTTACCCTAAACATTTTCAATGCCCGGAAGGATAAAAAAAGATGCTTGGCATTCAAAATGCTTCTTAAAAGTAGTCCACCAGTAGTGCTTTCCTCAAGATAACCCAATGTTATTCAGACAGTTTTCTATATATATTAGCTATAGCGATTCCATGTTGATTATGTCAGGATTTCATTTCGAGGCTCTGGTGTATTATCGACAAAATTCCCAAGATTGTAGGCCATAGTTCCAACGAACAGACAAAAGACTGAACATTCAAATAGCTCCCACAACGATGGCAAGTTTTGCCTTCGGGCTCCTACAACACTACTTGCTTATGTTTAACGGGCTGTATATTTAAACATCTTAGTAATATTCAGCTGTGTGTTAATGTCATATGGCGTGCTAAGTCTTAACGCCTTTTTATGACTGTGAACATATTCCTACCGACTCTTGTGTATGAATATGTGAAAATGCTCTCAATTTCTTTTACTTCAATACTTGTCCTTTTTACTTTCGATGCTTGTCTATGCAGACTGGTCATGGTGACTTGTACTTGAATAAAAAAAATAGTTAGTCTTTAACATGGCCTTAAACGTAAAGTTTCTTTTACCTCTCTCCCTTTATTGTGTTTATATTTAGATGTAATTGAAAATTGTAAATGTCACTCATAATGGAGACTAGATGACCTTGTGCCCTTCCCTATTGTGAGTGACATGTATTTGAGTAGCTTTGTTGTAGTTTAAAATTTTAAATTATAAAAAAAAAACTTTGAGGAATGATCTGCCCTTGGTAATTATAGATTCTCGTTCAAATGTTCCTTCAAATGCACAATACATTAAGGGTTTAAGAAATGGAGGGAAGCCTTCCCCATAGTAAACGTAAGAGAGCTCCTCCGTTTATTCATTTTTTATGAACACATTGTGTCTCTGTGTAGTCTTCTTTTTTGCACAGTTAGTATAAAGTATTTCATATATGTGTTGAAACAGTGCCGCTCCACTGTTGGTCTTTTGGTGGAATGATTTATAATAGATTCGGCAAATGACCGACGTATTACACTGGCTTTTGAAAAGTAAAGTTAGCGCTTTTACCGAATTGCTTATTGTGAATAAATCAGCACAAAGATACTGTTTGTTGACATTATACCTTCTGATTTCGCCCATACCAGCTAAATGCATGGCGCAGAAAATTGAGAAATCGCACAGTGGAAATGAAATTGTACTCTGCAATTGAAAAAGTAATTATTTTTTTAATTCGGCGGCTTCCCCTGATAACAAAAGCAAAGACAACAGCGAGGCTACATTCGTTTGCTTCACCGCATAATATTCATCCACGCATTGCACATTGCTGAAATTAAAGTCATAACGTCATAACATATCTTTTCAGAATCGATGAATCTGGACCACGATATCTGAAAGAACACAAGAGTACCTAAAAATCTGCGAATTTTTTCAAACATGGCTATCAAAGGACCTGCAGTTGTGATTTCGCCAAGACTTTACAGTAAACTGATGGATTAAATTAGACTGAGACTGTATCTCAGCCAAAACATTGTTACATTCGACTTTTTTTTATATTCATGACTGTTTTATTGTATTCTTTAAGATCACAGAAAAAATTTCAAAATAAATATCCATAATTCGATTGTAAAATCATGCCATTGTATTTCACCTTGGCAAATTGTGACTTACAGATCTTTTACATGACAAACGTCAATGCCGATGGAAATTTTATTTGTGTTAAACTTTTGGCTCTTTTTCACATTATAATTTTGACACGAGACAAATCACAACTCTACCATATCTCAATTCTAGAGCTGCACAAGATTCTCTAATATGAAAGATTACACCGAAGACAAAAAATTTCTTTCATCCCTGGATGAAGTCAAACCGGGATGATAGTTCTAATGATGAGGGGCCAGGTTTAATGAAGGCAAGGTTTAATCAAAATCAGAACACTGAAAGGGTTACACGCTTGATCAGCTGCAAAAAGTGTGATTCAGCTGCGAATGAAAAACAACGGCTCTTTATTTTCTAATTTAAATTCGGTTAAAGTGTTGAACAAGGCAACTTTCTTTGAAAGAAGTAATTAATAACAAAAGTGAAGAGGAAATAATATTTCGGAATTTTTGTAGCAGTTTTGCAAAAATTGAATTCTTACAAAAAGGACTGTCGATGTTCTTTTCTGAAGTTTTGGATTTTAAAAAAGTAGACTGCGAAGCTTTCTTAACATAAGAAAAATTTTAAATATGAAAATAGTCTTACTAGTTGAAATAAGCCATAAGGATAGCGAGACGAGGTTTTTCACCACTGTGACCAAATTTTGTGAGCTTCTGAAGAAAGTAGAAGTTTAACCAAAGGCACGAAATTCTTTATTTTCCATTGGGCACAAAAAATGATTGTTGCTTAAAAAATCTTGAAAATTTCCGTTAAATTAATTAGATCAGCGTTTTTCTATTTACTGTGCTTAAGCCAGCCAACATTTTTAACAGGGGAAAATTTCATTCAGGCTGAAAATACAAAAAGCTGACGAACTTATGGCAATTGAGAGCGCTAGACCTTATTGAGAAGGTTACAGATTCTAAAAAAGACTAAGATGGTATCATAATTAATTAAGATGATATTACAGTTATTGTGGTATCATAATTAATGCGTGAAAGTGGGCTTTAGCTTTAGGCAATCGTTTAATGGTCAAATGGGCTGGGTATGTTTATTGTCATGGCAGTGATGTTGCAGATGTCACGATGGTGGTCCTGAAATTAGCATTCGAAATTGGTTCACAGGTATCAATCATTCTAGGTATAACAAGATATGACCAACAAATAAAGGTCTAACCTTAACCGATGTTTTCAAATTCGAGATTTGAAATGACTATGCTTGGTATAGACATCTGCTACTGCATACGTTTGATTAAACGGCAGCATCTTCTTGTTGTATTTCCATTATGTCTATATTCAAGCCCACATGGTCCAACTCAACCTGATGGAGTTTTTATTTAGTCAAGAATCTTTACTGACTGGAAACACACAAACCTTCTTCATCATGAAACGGCATATTCTTCTTCATCGAAAGAGATCTTCATCAAACCTATCCATTTAAATATTCACAGTGTTAAGGTTTAGCCCTTTTCAACCCATTCTTCACATGAATCAGCACTACATTCACCCTCATCGCTTCTCTCCCTCCGTTTATGCTTTCTCTTTTTATGCTTATCCTTTCGCTTCTTGTGTTTGTGTCTTTCCCTGCTTCCACTTCTACTCCTACTTGTACTTCTTCTTCTGCTTTTCCTCCTTCTTCTTTCGCCTTCAACAACATCGTTATCTGTTTTCTCCAATCTTTCCATTTCAACTTGATCTTCCTTACTGTTTACCATGTACTCCTCACCAACCTTTCCATTCATATCCTTTGAAAATTCCTGCAGCTCACCTGTTTCAGCTTTGACTCCTTCTACATCTACAAGCCGTCTGTCCCTATCCCTTGTTTTCCAGTGGTCTTCACCTCTGATCCTCTCCCTATCCCTGTCCCTCTCTCTATCCCTATCCCAACCCCTATTCTTATCTTTCTCTCTATCCCTATCCCAACCCCTATCCCTATCTCTGTCCCTTAGTTTGTCCCCGGCTCTATCGCTATCTCTACCTCCCCAGCGGTCTGCCTGCCTTGAATCTCCTCCCTCGCGACCATAACTATACCTTTCAGGACTCCTATGCTTGTATCTCCAATCCCTGTTTCTTCTATCTCTGTCCATGTCGCTTCGTTCTCGACCATATCCTTTCTTGTAGCCATACTCCCTTTCGTATCTGTCTGCGCGGTTTGTATCGAATGACTCACCATCAGCCTCATCAAATCGCTCCATGGGGTCTTTCGCATCGACATTAATTTCACTTAATGTATCAGAATGCATCTCACCTTGCTCGGATCCACTAGCCTTTGACTTGCCACCAGAGAAGAACTCCAAATACTTCATCTGCTGCTCGATTAGCTCGCGAATGACCTGAAGAAATAAAGCCAATTAACTAAAACACAACGCAACGAGAAAATACGAAGAAGCTACGCCATCTTCTAACTAAAGATATAAGACCAGCACCCACAGTGCACCATTCAACATACAAACACGACAGCATTCAGCTACAAACAAAACAGCTTAAATTTTTCCTGTACTGGATAGAGGCGATCAGGGGTGAATCAGACTAAATCATTAATCTTCGAACTTCGTTTGCGAAAACTCTTAATTACACTTAATGCACAGCAATCTTTTAAAAAACTCAAAGTCAAATGTAATCCATAATTTTCCCCTTTATTCAAAGTAGAATAATTTTTTAGAAGAGAAGCAACGATAACATTTTAGATATTGGAGCGCATATTCCTGTTGGATCTCTCTGGGTGCGCAAAATTCGCCTACTTTTGAACATTTGAAATACTGCCAAAAACAAACTTGTTCCCTTCATCATCAGTTATTTTGAAATAATTTATTGTCGTGAGTAAACTTTTAACTTAAAAATTGCCAAAAAATCTTTTTCTAAGTCAACAATACAAATGTGAAAGACCGCTTTTATAGAATGCAAATTCATAGAAGGTTTAATCAATAAAGCAAGCTTTATCTATAAAGAATTATGTTATTGTACCCCCAGCCTGTCTGTTACTATCACTGTTCACTCATACTTAATTGGAAAATTTCAGCCCTGAGATCTTTAAATACTTTTGCAAAGAGAGATATTTAGCTGAGATTGTTAGTGATGTCGTGTCAACTATATCAGAGGTCATATTAAGCAGGCTCCCTCAGTGAACTGAAAAGAAATGGAAGCGTACAAATAACAGATTGTTGACTCGAAGCCGAAATTATTCTAATAGTAGAAATTGTATAGATTCTATTTAAAATAATTACCAAATTTGTACTTGTTTAATTTCAACCAGGAGACTTTTGTTATACATTTTTATAAAATTGGAACCTTTTGATATAATGGCTCTGTGATGCAGCGGACTTCGAATTCTCGAAATCTCAATGGTAAGAGAAAAGCGATTCAAATAACCGAGGACTTCGAACGAGCCCTTTGTAACATAAAAACAATCCAGAGCTGAAGGCATGGTAGCGCGTTTTTGATTAAAACAAAGCGAGAAGATAAGGAGAGAAAAACAAAACAATACCATGGTGGCTGATGTCTTAGCTAGGGCCGGATTCTTCGCCCGGTACGATTGCCTTCGGCGTTTATAATCCCGCAGTTCAGCCAACGCTTCCACTTTGCTTTTAGGCCGATCCTCTTCCAATTTTTCTTGCATTTCCAAAACTACAAAACAGGAGCAGAAATTTATTCAATAAATGTGTCGACTCATTGAACGTCAATTTTTATTTGAATAGAAATTATTTCCTTCTGTTAAGCTGATTAACTCTAAGAATACAAGAAGTAAATTTGTTTAAAACTGCAGAACATAGTTCAAAATTATCAAAATGCCCCCATTTTAGCTTACAATGATCTACCTCTGACATTTAGGTAAGGCAAACAAATTTTCAAGAGAATTGATACAAGATCAAGATGTTTTTTTATACAGAAATGATGCAAGATGTTTCTTAGACCGATTAAAACATCAAATGTTTATTGTGGACACTATGTTCGGACAGCATCCACGTAGCTTCTTTTAACGAATTTATCCGAAAAAATCTTCTCTCCGATACATTCCTCTTCCTTTTTCTTCATTCTCTGTCAAAGCCCTTCCCCATGTTTTTCGTACCCATGAACTATGCAGTCTATCCTGGAACATTATGCAGCCTTGATTTGAAGTGTCTAAATAAGTGTCCTAAAAGAAGGATATCCCAAAAACCGAATAAACATAAACAAACAAATCAATCTTACTTTTCTGTTGTTCCAACGCATCTTTTTCAAGTTCATCAAAGTTTACAGATTTCCGCTTCATTTCTGATTTACCAGTCTAAAGCGAAGAGAAAAAACTACAAGATCAAGCTATGAAGCAGAGGCTTGGTCCCATGCTTTTGTTTAAGCAGTACAGCATGTTTGGAAAGATGACTCCATCCAAATTTTGAAATCAATGCTAGCTAGCATTTGCATCTTCAAAATAACATACTATTACACTTAGCCAGATAGAGAGGATAGAAAAAGCTAAAGGTGGTTCAGGGAGCAACTCTTTTCAAATATTAACACGAGAGAGAGACAATTTTAAAGGCAATAGAGAGATACTAAAGTGGCCAATCATCTGCCAATCAACAACTGACCAATCACTGAGCAAGCAACCACTCACACGCTTATTGCTTGGCTAACATTGATTGACAAATGAATTAAGCCATTTTAGTATTTGTCGATTGTCATGAGCAGAGACATTCGATATTTCACATATTTCAATCACAAAATTGACATCTTAAAGGCGGTGTTCACACTAATACCAATCGCCGAAATCCTCTAATCGATGAAGATGTTGCACGAAAGTTTGTAACATCTTCTCTGTGTTAACGCAATGTGCACGCTGCATAGCATGTTTGGTAAAAAATCCATAAGGGGTTTTTCATGGCAAATCAACACAGGTATGACACCCATGTACTCAGAAACTTTGGTCGGGTAGTCCCTTTTAGAACATGAAAATACACAGAACATTTCAGCTCAGTACCTTGTAACGTTCCATGTTATCAGATGTTACCTATTGATGGTCACACCATTATGCGAAGAAAGCCACCGCCCATTTTTTTACAAGAATTTGGAGTAGAATAATGGACTGTTATCAAGTGCTATACTTAAGATGCTGTTGAAAATAGGCAATCTGATGTAATTTGGTATGGAGATTGCAAATATCACATGCAAAATTGTCTAACCCTCATAATTTTCATTCTACAGGTAATTTAAATTGAAAAAGTTCGGTCATAATTTTTAGGCAAACATAGCATTTTTTAAACGTGATTAGCCAGAATGGGCCCAAGCAGAACATGGTAAAATTTGGCACGAATCAAGTTGACATTATGCTAAAACAGATTATGAAGTTTAGTGATGGTTTTCTGTGTGTTTTAAGAGATACACCGTCGTATCGTCATATGACGTCATATCCGTGCTTAAGATTGATCAGTAAAATCTTTGATAAATAAAATTTAGATTTTTCTCAAAATAACATTATCTTTTAAGTAGACAAATTCAAGAGGTTAATCTAGCCACCGCCAAAAACCATTTCTGGAACGATGGAGTACCCTGAAGCCTTTTAGTTTTTTTTGGAAAAATGTTTTAAAAACATTGCAAAAAGTGAAAAGTAAGAATCTTGCAAAATTTGTCATAACTGTTAACCAGAAAATGTCTAAAATGCGAAAGAGTTTATTCCTTAAATAACCAACCAAACAGGGGCGTAAACTTCGTTAAAATCATACCGCTACGACATATTCGTAAAGCTTCAGCCTGTCTTCTGCATTCAGCATTGTCTCTAAGTAACTTGCCGGAAGACAGAATTCTGCGTTTGAAGACGTCTGTGTCCTTGGTGCTATATATTTATCGAGGAAAAAAATGAGGTTATAAGAAAACATGCTAAAATTAAATGCAACTTTCTGTAAATAAATTTAAAACAGCTTTAGTTAATGAGTATAGAAAATGCTATTTGATATGAAAACTTGATTTCGACAAAGGGAAACGAAAAATTTCTTCGCATCATTATAAGAGGCACGAATACAGATGCAATTTGTACAAATGATCTGACTTTTTATCCATTAAATGTACTTCTGACAAAATCTTCTTGAATTCAAAAGCAGAAAGGACCAAACAAATGTTTCATTTGAAATTTAAAAAAAAGCAAACTGTTTCCAAAGAGTAACAAATTGCTTTGTTTGTATTTGAAACAGAAAAGGATACATTGTTTTTGGAAAAGGATACTACGGTTTTTAGCTTACTTGATAATATTTGTTAAAGTCTATAGTAGCAAAATCTACGATTCTAATCACTATAAACTTAATCTTATTGGTACCCATAAAACTATGCTTTTGCCTGTCAATTAATTCATAAATAATAAATTAAGTTCATATCATGCATCAGCCAGAGGCCTTTGCAAAATGCATTGGAAGTACAAATAATATTTGAGCTGGCAGGAATATTTTACTGTCTATTCTAACAATTAATTAATAAAGACTATTTCCATTTCTGACTGATCATAGACAATTCATTTTCAGCAGGTTTAGAAGTTTGATCCGTATGAATCAAAACATTTTAAATGGTTTGTACCAGTATAAGGGAATATTAGAAATTTGAAACTACAGACAAAAATAATTTTTTTGATTGTCCCAAATAGAGCAAAGAAGTTAGCCTGGGAATGAACTACAGATAAATATTTGGTTCATTAAGTTTTCTATTTAGATCTCTATGTAGTTTAGAAAGTAAAACTATTTTATAAAGAAATAAGGTTTTAAAAATAACATCTGAAGGATATCGGTTGTTTTGAAACTTTCTTATGTCATAGACAAAAGGCAGTGTTGATCAGAAGCAACCAACCGTATAAGAGTCTGAAATAGGATATGAAAAATAAAATTGGCAAAACAGACACATCAGTTAAATGCAAACAATACTCTTGGTGGCAATCGCTGTAGCTGATTGTATAATAACTTCAAATGTTAACAAGAAACTTTTTAGTTTTATCAATGATTAAACTTAGAGAACAAGTATACCTTAGAATTGAAAATTAACTAATCATTATTCCTGTAGTGGCCTAGCACATAATTCCTTTTGGGACATTAATAATAATAATGCCTGATCTATCCTATTTTGGTGGTATATCTTAGGTATCTATTTTCCCACAGCAAACCATAAATGTTTTCTTATAACCTGACCCTAGCTGTGTGTATACTATCATCAACAATGCAAAAAGCTTGGCCATGGTTATGAAAAGCCTTTATAACATGATAAAATCTTATCAAATATGTATGTTGCGAGTTGTACTTGATCCAAAATAACAATAATATAGTTAGCAAATAAATGAAAATTAGATAGTTTGATTGTTAAAATATCAAGTTTGATTACATAATTTTAACAATCAACTTATTTTATTTTCATTTTGGTACTCAATGTTTTTGCTAACTATATTTTTGTTCTTTAAAACATGATGCTGTTTTACCTTGTCTTTTCTCTGTGTAAGCCTCTGTGGCAGAATCATTTTCTCTGATTGCTAAAACCTGAATTATGAAAGTGAATTTTACATTTAACAAAGGCTTTAACAAGATTGGACATATTAATCCATTGGACAATGTCAAAGTACCAAAATAACCATATACATTAATGATGCAGCAGTAGCTAACTGACCGCCATGTTGCATGTTTTTCATACACCTCAAGAGTTGTGGCATCAATAACATCATTTTTTTCAATTGCTTTTTTTGTGTTTCACATGAAAGGGTAAATCAGAAACAAAAGGAATAGTTACATTATGTTAATAATAATTAATAGCAAAGCTCATTTTCAATTATCACTAAATTACCCTTAGGAAAGATGAGCTTCCCACATTGGCCACATCCCCTAATACAGGTGAGAAAGATGAGCATTGAAAATAGAACAACACAACACATATGCACCAGGTTTTAATGGCAATGGTATTCACCTTTTCTTTTTCAATTTTGTCATTCACATCAACATGATTTCTAAAAATTGAACAATGAGAAAATGAACAGACACCATCATTTATTTGTAACTTCAACAACAGAATAAGTAATAAAACTTAAAAATTTGTGTTGATGGTGGCTTTCTTCATAGCAAGAAACCACTTTGCTCTATCCAGGGCAAAAATAGAACTTTAAGGCCGATCAAAATTATGTTAACACTATTATATTTGCAAAAATTGTACCTAGATCTGCTACTGCCTACTGACAGCAATAGGAAGATTTGATAAGCATAACATAATTACCTCTTCAAGCATAATCCAATGCTTTCTAACTGCTCACTTCCTAAAAAGATTAAAGAAAATTATACCAGCAATGTTTTGTGAGTGTGGCTGTGTTTACTGGTTGCTATATCATCTATTTTTTAACCAACAGCACTTTCAAACAAACAGAGCAAACAGCAAAAGGGAAAACAACCAACTCTATGCTTCAGATTACCATCACAAAAATTGAGCTTCAAAACACTGCATACATTGATTTGGTATTTCATTGTGTAATAATTTCTTGTGAGAAAACTCATTAAAGCTGGATTGGAATAGAAGCCAATGATATTAAGAGTTATCACTTGCTGTGGGAAAGTACATCCTTGGTTGTGAAATTTCATCATCAGATGCTTGTTAACTTATGTGATTGCCATAGTTGATGAATTAGCCATAAATATTAGTCTCACATAGCAGAATTAATCATTATTAAGTTTCAGGGCAGCTGGTAGGTTTTGGAGTGCAGGAAGAAGAAAAGTTTTGTAACCACGCCCTCTAGATTAGCTTAAAATGCATTTCAGAATATTTCTGGCAGTCAATTCATGCAGTCATTTGAAATGTTGCACTATTATTAGCCATAGTGCTATAATCCTGTTCTTAAAATGGAATTCATTACTATAGGCTCTGGGGCAATTCTCCCCCTTATAGACAGCCCTGCCAACTTATATAACATGACAAAATTCAATTCTATATTACAGCCACTTTCATTGCCAAGTAAAATATGTCACAAATTGTGAAAGTCCCTTCAGTCCTTTTGAAAGACATTTTAAAAGTCAAATTGTGAAAGACATTTTACGAACACAAAAAACAGCATATCATGCATGGAAAAAACAACATTCAATAAAGTTGAAACCATTTTCATTATTTTCCAGATACACATTAATTATTTTATTTTAAAGGAGCTTAAGTAAATTAACAATCTTACCAATGTAAACTTGATTAACAGAAGAGAATGGTGATTGGTAAAAAAATCCTGAGCTGTCAGGCAGATCCTGGGATATAAACAAAGAAAGGTTGATCAATTTCTGGATACAGTTACACATTAGAAGGATATTCCAAATCTAACGCTTAAATTGCTTTGGCTTTGAAAAAAGCAAACATTTTACGACATACTAAAAGCTTTTTCGTCTGACACTCCTCAGAGCATAAAACGTCAGAATAAGGTTCCGAAAGAACACAATGAAAAATACTGACGTTTTATGCTAAAAATTGTTTAAATTGCTTCCTTGTCTAGTATTATTATTTAGCATTAATGATGTATACATTTTGTTACAATAAAAGTTCATTTGAAAAAGCTCTTTCTTTGAAAACCAATTGTTTTAAAAAGGTTCCTTGAAAACTAAAAAAATAAAAAACATCACCTCCTTTTATAGAAACTAATAACAGAAAACAGAAAGCAGGAAACAGAGAACCAAAAAGCTGCAACTGTCCAGTATCTGGTGACATTTTACGCACATGACTACACCCAAATCATCTTAAACCCATAGACACCTAGGCAGGGGCTTTATGGCTGGGGGCAGGGGGGCCTTGGCTTTTGGAAAAATCATTGGAAAATTTTTCTGACATCATATGTGCGATTGAAAATGATTCATAAAATGTACCTCAAAGTTGGTTATCATATCAAAGGGAGCTCAGTAGATTAGAAAAGGCCACTCAAACAGGAAATACACGGTGCTTGGCCCGTCACACAAATATTTCAATTTTTGCCCTGTCATATGCATCCTTGCCAATTATAATTTTTTTTCATTTTAATTGGGGGCAAAGAATACATTTTGTAAAATTGCTTTGAAAAAGTTGGAAAAAAGTAAAATAATTTTCTTATGCTTTTGTAAAATGAGTAACATGAATGATACTTTTTACTGTGGTTTATAAACTTTTGTTTAAAATATAGGTGTGCATAAAACTCAAAAAAACATTTCACAGGTTAACATATTCCACATTGAAAGCAATCTGTTTTCTTTTAAAATTTTACCTTGATTTCCATGTTGCTAAAACCAGAATTCTGAAGCTGACATATTCTTGTATGGTCATCAAACCCCATCGCACCAACACGATGATCCTTGTCAAAAGGACATTCTAATAGGTTATCAGCATCCTGGTTTGAAAAGAATAAATCCAATGAATTCAGCATATGTTGAAGATTTTTGTTTAAATGTTATTTCTCAAATCAACAGCTAAATATAAATTGAAGGCACTGACTAAAACATAAAGGTGTAGCCAAGGCTGATGCCATATTTCATATTCTTCAATTATAAATCTTACTGTAATTGTATTTCAAATTAAATCTTAATATGCAGACCTAGCCCAGAAAGGCACTCAGTTGAGCGTGCATGACTAGATCGCACCCAAAAAAGGCCTTGGGGAGCGATATATAAAGCCCCTCAAAACGTAAAAACAATATTACCACAGCGCAAAATAAATTTTTGGCATTTGTGAAATAAACTTGATCAAGCATAAACAATCTTCCCAACAGACCGCAATATTATGATTTGCATAAGATTACCCCTTGAGAAAGAAACTCAGCAAATTCAACATTGGGTTTTCAATACAATTTTTAATCTAATAACCCTCTAATAACCACCAAGGACACAGGCCATCAAGCATATTTTCCGGCAGATTTATTTGATTTTCGAGCAAGCATTAATCTTCTGTTGAAGTATTATTTTCTGTTTTTTCTTAAAAATGTAAAATCATTTGTGCCAATGAGCGATCAGATTTCCACCGAAATTATTGCATTGCTTTTCAGTTTCCATTTGTTTTTGCAAGCAGTAGATGTTCTGGTGTCTCTTATAGAATGGATAGCATAAAAAAGGAAACACAGTTAAATGTTCAACTAAAAGCCATGTGTTTTGATGTAGCAATATGTGAAGCTGAACATAACAGTGATACTGACAGTGAAAAAAAGTGATGGTAACTTACATCCAGAAAATCCGAACAATTTTGAAACTTTCTTTCATTAAATTTCTATATTTATATTAACATATTGTATGTTTTGTTATTTCATATTATGGTGCTTTTTTGTATCACCCTTGAATTTCTTGATTAACACTCTTCCGGAGCTTTCGATATGAAGCTCTTGATCTTCCAAAGCCCTCGAAAGATGCTCTAAAGGAAATTTTATCTAGAGGTAGAAATACGCTAGAAACCTTCTACACGCTAGAAATAGAGGTGCAAAAAAGAGCGCCTAGAGTTTCTAGGGGGCTCTTTTTATAGATTACCTTCATTTTGCTTAGAGCAAGGCCTGATATGTATATGATAAGAAGAAAACCTCAAATGGCCTGGTCTGGAATTCATGGAAGTTTTTGGCGAGATCTTGGGAGTGCACATGCTATTATCCAGGCCAGGCATGTATTTGTGATAAGTGTGCACATTTGAGTGTGAACTAAATTTCCCAGTGATTCTTGAGTCTGTTCATGCTTTATTTCTTTTTTTTCATTTATCAAACTTATATCAATATTCCCTAACAATTATTGAGAGTTGAAACTAAGCTTTCCTTTTCTAGCACTACCATCAGTGTCTGTTATTCCAACTTTTTGGAAAGAATTTAAAAAGTAAAAGGGGGCCTCAAAAAGGGGCCTAAAATGGTAAATTGTGTTAAACAATTGCAAGAGAATGACTGCAAGAATTATTCTGAAATGCATTTCAAGCTACAACACTTGAGGGCATGATCACAAAAGTTTCTGCTCCCTTCGTTCACAGGTCACATCTTTCAGTTTTGCCCTAGGGCTGGGAAACTTCTCGGCAGCCCTTGTTCTCAAGAGCATTTCTCAATTTAGAATGACAGACTTTCTATCCCTTTCGCAAACAAATTTAGAAAATCACTTTGCGATCTTTAGAAATACCTGTAAATTTAAGCAACAGTTGGGTATGCAAGAGTGCACTCCTAATTTTACAAAAAATTATGGGGAGTGTAGCTAAAATGTGCATGCTGGCAAAGGGGCTTGTTTTCCTTGCATTGCAGTACATAAATGTATGCTTAAACTGCATGTTATTTCGCTAAACTGTGATCTAATTGATAACTTAGCAAATGAAATAATTTTTGTTATGAAAAAGATCTTGTGTTTCATCATGAACTGAACTGATCTAATTAGTAACAAAACTGATATGAGCTTTAATAATGCTTACCTTTCTTTCGTCAATAATTCTTTCTTTAGACCATCCTAATCCTTGTAAAAGCGTATCAACACGAGCAGTTGAGTTTTCTATCAGTTCTGAAAGGTTTTTAATGAATTCTATTCTCTCCGGTCTCTGAATATCCATGTTGGCCAGGACTGAATTATTTCAACTGCCTTGACACGCCATTTTGGTTTGCCTCGTATTCGAGCTCGGGTTAGAGGTGTTAGGTCGGAACAGTGGGTCGGAATTGTTTGTCTTTCCGTAAATTCGTGAATTTACGGAAGAACTGAATATGGCACAGGGAAGTGAAAAGGATGAAAAAAATGGTCAACTCAGGCAGATCAGAATCAATCACAAAGTTTTCTGAGTTGTCTAAAAAATCAGATCATCTCTCGCAAAAATGTAGTGCCCTCAGCCACTCAGCCAACTACCCCAAAATTGCTAAAATTTAACACAGCCTTGCTATAATTTTTTGAAGTAGGTACTGCCTATCCGACAAGAAGCCAGGGGTATCAAAAAAAAGAATACACCAAAAAAATGGCACCTTTAAACTATTAGAAAATAATGAAGTAATCAGTCAATTAAGGAATCGCAAAATTTTCGATAGAAACAACGGATTATAGGCAAAAGTCTTTGTCATATAATCAACAGAATTTTTACAAGTTAATAAAACATATTTACAAATAATATATTTAATAGGGAATGTTAAACAGTTAACATGAAAGTGGCACTTGAGATATGATGGAAAATAAGTGAAAAATGTTCACATTATTATACTTCCTTTAAAAGAAAGCATGCTACGAATGATACTTATCTCATTTAACATTAAATACCAATATTGTGAAAAAACTTTTCCCTTTCAACAACCCTATTTATAGCACCTTTAGATACATTCATAATACGCAAATTTTATTCTAACAACGCAAATACTTTATCATTCTTTGTGGAATTATAAAATGCAATAAATATACAAATTTTTAAAAACACAATTTGAGGTGCGATGTTTTAAAGGTTAATAAAGTTTACTGCTCTTTATAATAATCCATTTAACATCGAATACTTTTACAAATAAGATTGTTGTTTCTAATAGATTTCAGCATAGGAGCTTCCAATTTAAAATGTGACTAGGCCATACAATAAAAAAGGCTTGACTGAATCTTTTTACACGGGAAATTTCATTAACATTTAAAGGCAAAGGTCTCTCAACCGTCACTCAAGCGCGTTTTTGATTAACAAACACTTAGAATAACCGACTGGATACGTAACAAGAGGCATTTTGTGTAGTCCAACCAATGGTAAATTTGAATTGCCAGCGAAAGGCGTCAGGACGTAGTGCCTTAAAAAAAACAAAAAATCCTTTGTTGAACAAACAAAAGAGTTAACAGGAAACGGACCAAACCAAAAGCCATCGAAATCAAGGAGCTTCTTTTGTATGGCCCTAAAATGCCTCAAATCAGAGGAACTTAACACGAACAAAAAACATATGTATCGAAATTGGATATTAGATATCAATTTTCAGCGAGGGTAGTCACATACAAAATCACATGCAAAATCACATGTGAAATCACATGCAAAATCACATACAAAATCACATAAACATTACATAGCCCAACCACATTAGTAAGACAAATTAGTTTGAAAATTTTTTCTCTCTTTCATTACTCCGGTTCTATAGATCATGGATCCGGTTCTAACAAGGTTATGGATAAAAGTTACTTTTACGTTTACCGATTTCCAATCCGGGTGATGAATATTTGTAGACTGAAAAAGAATCTCCAATGCTAACGAAGGTTGACTGACTAGCCTTTATGGAAATTTACTATTAATTCTCAGATTATCCTATTTTCTCTATTTATTAAACAAGAGCTGATTTTATCACTTGTACAGACAATCTGTGACCAAAGTCCATTGCTTCGGTTGTTATCAATAATTTAGAAGTACGGCATATCCACTTTTAAAAAATAAAGCAATGCGAGGATGTAAATACGTCATTGAACCAGCCTTAAGGTCGATAAAGTACTAGAGCAGATCCAAAAAGGTTTATCTAAAAAGCTATGCGCATTGATACACAATCGTTCCTGAAGTTTCTTTGATTGGAACATCAAATAAAACGAGATACTGGAAGAGAACTATAAACGATTGTTGCTAGAACAAGTTAGCTTTCAGACTGAGAACATGGGCTCTATTGACACGATTCTATGACAGTGACTGTTTGGAAGGCCATTGAATATAAAACAATTCCGGGACTACACCCAAGTCACGCCTTGATTTCATCGTTAATTTGGAGGAAGTTTGGAAAGTTTTGGAGATCTTTTATGAACTCTATTTTAGATATTCATAAAAATGTCGTTTAGGCACAGAGCATGTAAGGACAGCATGCTTATTTCAAAACGGCAGTACGGTACCTTGTACGGGGTTTAATTAGAGAATTGTTAGCACAGAGGAATAACAAAATCTATACGGGGAGCTAAATTGGAATAAGAAGCAAGGTACGATGGTGATGTTGGATAACCAAAGTTGTGAAGGATGTTACTATGACGACTAAATGAGCGAACTTCAATGACCTAGTAGAGAAATGACCTAGTTTCAATCTCAAAGCAGCTGAATTTCCTTGGCTAAGCTGTAACAATCTATCTCGCAATAAAAAGCCGAGAAATGTTTAAAAATTCATTAGTTTTGGAAAAATTCTCTTTCGTTGACAACAAAGAAGGTATTTCGTTGCTTTAAAATTTTTAGATCTTTGCTAACGATATATTAAGTAACAGTGTATTAGTTTTAGGATAATAATAAAAATGTCGAATTTTCTATCTAAAAGCCGTAAGCTAATAAATGCAAGTTAATATGTTTTCCAAGTACATCCTTATCTTATTAATATACATTAATAGAAACTCTTTATGAAATTAAGATACCATCCAATATGGATGCTGCTCAGGCCATTGAGCAACGTTGCCATTCGATAAGATTACTCGGTGTAGATTCAAAAGAAACAAGTCAGGCCACATGTACTGGCAAAGCAAGCTCGCCCACGTAGGAATGCAAACATCTCTGTTTAACGCAGGTAGTGATTTCCATGCAAACCTCGTATGATAACCAGATAATATATTTTTGGGACTTTATCACAATCTTGAACGGTTTTTTCAGTGGAACTATGAATATACCTGCCATTCATGCAAAAAGTGACGTTTGATGCTTTAAACAGCACCGAATTGAATCAGGAGCCTGGCGATAGTGTTATTATCTCTATGGTACAATGGTACAATTCTGTAAAATGAATAAGTAGATATCGCGGAATCGTATGAACAAGTCCTCCTCTAGCACAACTTCAAACATTTTCAAAGGTTGCCCGACCTCTCTGTTCTCTTCAAGAGTTATCATTTACACTCAAGATCCCAAAGCAAATTTCTTAGCACCCACAATGGAATTCTGAGTTTAGAGATACACTCTAAAGCTGTGGATCTTGGCTATGCAATCTAACACCTAAAAGGGAAATATTTCACTAAAATCAGAACGCAAACGGCGGAAAGAATGAACAAGTGATGAGTAAGTCAAAAGATAAGACTTAAAATATTTGAATGTCAATGAAGAAACGGCAACAAGAATCTTGAGGAATTGTTATGCTTCTGAAAAAGGATTAACCTCAAAGGTCCAAAATTTTACTAACATTTCATTCTCAATAAAAATGCGACTCTTAAGTCGAGGTTTTTGGTTCCAAGTTTGTAAGTCAAATTTTGGATATCTGAATATCAAAATTTCATTCCAAATATAATAAAAAACAATGTCATATAATTCGAATTTCTAGCATTGAAAAAATATTTAAGCTTTAGTTTCATGTTGTTTGAAAGAGGCCAAAGAGTAGCAAAACATATTAAGAGCAAATCGTGTGAATCTAGCAGATTTATCGAAAAATGTATGAACAATTTTGCTGGTTCCGACCATGCAGGCAAACAGCGCCGAGGGAAGGAAAACCTGAAACTACATTACAGCTCTGATTGAAAACACAGTATTGCATTGAAATTTCGAGCTGCATAATATTCATGCCTTTCAAAGGAACAAAGAAAAGCTCGTAATAAATTTATCAAGACTCGGTGTTCTGCAGCCAGATGCCTTACAGTATCTTGACACAAAGTTTTATATTACTGAGAAAAAGTCAGCTCGGTTTTCCGAATAAATCAAGAAAAGCCGTACTTTCTATGAAAGAAACAGGCGAGCATTCTGATGTGAAATGCACATGTCCTTATATTCTCTAGAAGTGATACGTAAAAGGATCCTGGAGGTCTGCTGGATCAAAAACTCCTTTTCTGGCTTTTAACTTTACAAAATTAATACTTAGATGCGACCTGCATAGTTCTTCCAGAAAATCTCTATCTAAAAACGCTATTCGATCATAATTTGTTTTTAAAAAAATTATAAGGTAGGCAAACGACGGAGTTGGTAGCCTTTTTTAAAATCTGCAAAATGCTTGAGATTTTAAAAGGGTGCATGGATGGAAAAATATCGAAAAATTACTTACAAAGATATCTTGAAGTTGGCAGGAGGCATGCCCTGCTTTCCTTGCGTCTTCCATTGCATATATCTCTGCAATGCTTCTCTTTCCCTTTTCGATCCTTTTTTGATAATCTGCTTCTCATGTTGTGTTATGTCACCATTTGCTGTACTTTCGTTCTCAGTAATTGTATCTTTGTTGCTAGATGTCCCTGCGCTTGAATCGTTCTTTGATAGTACTCGAGTTGGTGATGGGTCCACTTCCTTCGTTTCCGAAACTTCAGGCCTCTGTGTCGCATCCCCTGCTTCGCTATTGTCACTGCTTCTCGACTTCTGATCTGAATCCTCTCCCGTTGCCATCGACTCATAAATAGTTTGTCCTGTAGCAAAAAGGAAATAGTTGCTCATAGACAGTAACTCATAAAATGGGGAGTTTAAAAGTGGAAGGGACGCAGAAATGTAACCTCAGATTTCAACTTCCTATCAAGTAGTTGATCGGCTGAATAGAAACTTTCTTCATGAGGATGTTTACACTACATTGGCGCGCGTGAAAACACTTACAAAGACTTCTTGATAGTCATCATCACGAGCACGTCAGTATACCGGCAAATACAGCTTCGATGGTAGGGTGGAAATGCTCCAGGGGTACTAAATAAAATCTTAAACTCTCTAAAAAGAATGGATAGAATTGTCCAGCAGGGCAATCTGATGAGAATTCCTAATAGAGCTAAAGAGTTAGTCTGATACGATAGAGTTAATCCAGAACCGCTCTCCCGCGTGATCCTAATAAAATCATCGACATAGCTAAAAATTAAGCATCTTACAGAACCTACCAATAACATTGAAACAACCTACGCTTCATAGAAAGGAACTTTTTGACATGTTTCTATCCATTAGCTATCTTAGCAACCTTTTTTAAGAACTGTTGGTTCAAACTTCTCCGTGAGGCAGCTGACAAAACACAAATCGCTTACTCACCCGTGCTTACATCAACAATACTGTCGGGTTCAAAATCCCACAGGTTTTCCCTGGATGCTTTCTTGACAAAAACTTTTGCCGGTTTCATGTCATCTTCATCAAAGGACATCATTTTCTCGTCAAACGAAAAATTCGATGGTAAAGATGTTGGGCTTACAAGGTCGATTTTGTCCTTAAATGGTTCTAATTTAGAAAATATTTCCTCGTCCTTTCCCGCACTTAGTTCTCTTGCTAATCCAAGATGATCAACAGCGTTACTAGTCTCTTGAGATTCTTCCTCGTCACTTTCGTCTGGTAAATAGAATGGATAAATGGTACAGTCAGTATTTTTCTCCCAAAAGAGATTCCTCGAGAGACTTTTGTTCTTTTTCTCAATAACCGGTGAAACCGAGGGCGATGCCCATGGGTCCCCAGAAGCTCCCAGCTCTTCAATCGTCCCATGTGGCTTTACTTCTTTATCTCCGTCATCTATCTGACCGCTTTCAGTTATTGGTGTTGATTCTAATAATTCAGTAAAAGGTGAGTTCTGCATTTCAAATATACTAGATTTTTCCATTTCTGTTCGCATTCGATTTTTTTCAAGTTCAACCTCTCTACGTTTCGAAAGATTAACAGAACTGTCCGATCGGTCAAATTTTTCCCACCTGGCATCTTTTAGTCTTACCGACAAATTACCGTCAGGGACCGTTGACATTTCACCTCTGCCACAATTGCTATTACTTTCTACTTCACAATTATCACCATTTCCGGTTTCTTTTGAACAGCCCTCGCTACAAGAATCTACAATGTTATTATTTTCTTCTTTACTCGTTGAGACGGAAGGCGTCTTTGACAGAGATTCCCCAACATCTTCTTTTATATCTTCCTGCTTTACCTGAAAATTTGCTAATTCGTCTAAAGTATTTATATTGCTAAAATTCGCTGCTCTTTTCAGCGGAACAAAATTATCTGGACCTTCTTCACTGTGAAACGAAGTCCTGCTGTGCAATCCACTTGGTTTATCACTAAAACTCATTGCATCTTCATCATAACTGTTGAAACTGGCTGTTTCCGTCTGGCTTCTCTCACAGTCTTTCTTACGAAAATTCTCAGCATACTCAAACTCTTCAATACGCAATGCCATATCATCGATTTCAAGAGCAAGGCGATTTCTATCTGAAGTAAGGACAACTATAGTAGCCTCGCAGTCCTTCACTTTCCACTCAAGAGACGAGATGGTCTTTGACTTATCCATCAATTGCATGTTGAGGTCGTCAACCTAGAGGAACACAATTCAAAATTAGTACACTCTCCCAGTATGACAAGCTGAGGCAATGCCGATTTGAAATGTAACAAAACATCCCACGAGGAAATGAAGAACGAACTTCAGCTACCCTGTCAACTTAATCCGTTGGACGTCAAAGAAGCTTCCTCCCTTAGCTTCATCTTAAAGTAAGCTAAAGAACATTTTGCTCTTCCCGGCCTAGCTCTATTTGCTTTTCATTTTGTACATTGTAAATATCATTTTAACTTTTGATAGTCCTTTTTATTTTACTCTTACTGCAAAGTTTGACCCGGTCCCCTGTAAAGCAATCGACTCGATCCATGAGATGTATGACGGGTGTATAGATGAGAAAAATGAAATTAAGAATAAAATGAAATCCATGATAACTTCTTAAACACTTAACGCCTTTTTGCGTAGTACAGAACGGTTCTAAGTGGCCTAAAACCGTCGAAGAATGTGGAGATCTCTTTGTAAGGCATCGCGTACAATATAAGAGAACGGTGAATGGAATATTCATTGAATAGAAGCAATCGACAGAGAGTTAAAAAGAGCCAAAATTACTAAATAGAAGAATATTTAGCGTGAAGAACACAAAAGGGTTGAATGTAAAATCTCTTGAACACACAGCAGTTTGGTTACCTGCTTGGTAAGTTCTGTTATCTTCTTCTCTTGCTCTACGGATTTCGTTAAGGCATTAAACCACCTTGGAGTAACAGCACATTCTGAAAAATCAACAATAAGAAACTAACTGACTTAAATATAAGCCTAATAACAGAATAATAGCAAACTTAAAAGCTTTTTTATGTCCGCTATGTTATGATGCATGATAAACAAAATAAAACTTACAATACCAATATGGGGACGTAATCCAGCGCAAGTTACGGAAATTAAAACTTCATGATTACCAAGGAAATTATTATTGCTAAGATCTAACATTAACTGCACGATTTTAGAATACTTTCAAGACATGTCAGGAAACTTTTGCACTTTTCAATTTTAGCTTATCAATTATCAATTTCAAACTATGCCTTCAAGTTTTTCATAAGCAATACTATCCTAACACTATACCTTAATTCTTCAGAATGAATTCACACACATTGATGTTGAAAGCATTACAAAGCAATGATCGAGAATGCTTTTTACGATTTAGAAATGTTGAAACTTGAAACTGGATTCGATTTATGAGCTGCGTTTAAGCCAATAAGGACATAACGAAACTGCGGGAAGTTAAGTTAAAAGTAAGAGAGATATAAAAAAGTGTTAGTGAGACATTTGGTCGAGTCAAGAGATCTTGGAAAACATCGGACCATGCCAATCAATGGTTTAATAAAATCTTACAAAACGTTTTCAGTTAGACGTTAGAAACAATGAATGGGAAAAACACAGGGGGACGAGTAGATTGGCGTTTTTGCCAGGACGTGGGTTTCCACGATCATACGAGAAGGTGGTAAAACGTGTGGTTTTGCTACCGTATAATTGATCAATGGAAACACACATATGATACACCAACACGACATAACAGCAGCCTCGCACCTTTGGTGGCTAGCCTCAAGGTCGCTTAATGACGATTTCCTCTGTTATGAGATTTTGCGATTCATTCGGGATTAGTACTGTACCCATAATGCATTTTCACTACTTATATGGCGAATGTAATGTTTATAGTTTCAAAGTGGGTCGTGAACTCACTTTTAGCAGCAATATTGCTATGATTTTAGCTCCAGGAGACTGTGAAGCTGAGGGATAGGACCATCATAAAAGTATACGTTTTTAACGTCCGTCCAGATAAATAAAAAACTCTGTTTCAAATCAACAAATTGACGTCAGTTTGATAAAAAGCACATCTTGATATAAAACAAATACAATGCAAGAAAACTAAGCATAGGAGGAGAGAATGAATAAATAAGTCAAGATTGTTAATACCTTTCATAACATTTTCTCTGACAATGCGAACTTTCGTTTCACGTAACTTCGACAGTTCTTCAGACGACGCATTCAGTCTTTTCTTGCAATCCTGTTCTTTTTCAATTAACAGCTGCTGTAGCTCAGCATTTTTCTTCTCGCTTTCCTGGCAATAAACTTGCAGCTCTTCAACTTTATATTGCAAATCTTCAATCGACTCTAGTAGCTCTTCGGGACACTGAAACGTGTCTATATCGATTTCCCTTGGCTCCTCCATTTGTTCCAGAGCCTGGAAGTTTTACCTAAAAAAGATCATATTCCATGATGTTAAGCAGCTAACCATGAACACAAAAGTCTACAGGTCATGTCAGGTGATGACAAATGAAGCAACCATGAAATGTAAACATCTTGAAATGAGATACAGATAAAACCGAGAAACAGATCAAGGTGTTCATAATTCATATAAAAAGACTCAAACTGCAGGCGTTATCAATTGATTACTTGTTTAGTCTTAGTTCTGGGTAGATATGTCATTAAAAACCTAAAGCTTAAGAGAGTGCTATATTTTCTGACTCAGAATTTTTTTTTCCAAACTCATGACCATAGATTTAGCATGAATTCTTTATTTTAATTCACTGCATAAAACATAAAACAACAAAAGACGCAGAGAAAAAATTACAGAAAACTTGTTTGCTATTATTAGCTTTTATTAGGTTCAGATTAGCTTTTTAATAAGCGCATTGGCTTGTCAACTTGTGGGTTATTACAAATTAGTGAATGTTATAAACTCGAACATAAATCTTCAAAATTACTTGAAATCTTACAGCCTATGTTACCCAGTGATAATCCGCGAAACAAGCTTTGCATAATAGTGAAATCTCATAAGGCATAGATTCTAGCCACGAATTCATTAAAGAACGACTTTTCAAGTTGTTATTGAGGACCAACGCTTTAGATAGAAGAAGTACTTGATTTTGAAAGACACACTTTAAGTCAAAGTAAAGGGCGTGTCCCACAATAACTTTCTTTGGGCCTCACTCATTCGAGAACCTTTCCCTCTATACCATGGCAAAACAGCTGGATGAGGGAAGAATATCATCTTTTGAAGATGGCATGAAAATGTAGAAACATGGCCTACTTAAGTACTTTTTTGTCTTATGAAAATGAAAGATAAGCAGAAATTTATATCTAGAAGTGGATGGAAAGTAACATGAGAAGAAGAATGGTTTCTTGATGCCAAGCAGTTTATGAAATGAGGATGGGAAGTAATCGAGTATGCTATCTACCTGCTTTTTGTCGTATTTTCAAATAATATGGTACCTGAGGTCAGAAATTCATAATCTTTCTGTAGAAGGAGCAAACCTTTATGAAGATTTATGTCAAAAGGTTAGCATTCACACTTGCATTCCCTAATCACAGGCCAGTGGCATAACACAGTTTAGGGCACCTTGATTCAGCGTTTTTTAACCTTTCCTATCCACGGCACAATATTTGCGGATAGTTATTAGTTTTTTTTCAATTTTATAGAGCAATTAAGTGAAATTAGAGAATTTTTTTTCGCAGCACACAAGGCAATACCTCAAAGCACGCTAGTGTGTCGCGACACAGTGGTTGAAAACATCCAAGGGCCCTTGACCAAAAGAGGCCTAATGTGCTTATACGTCCAGATCTTTAAAGCTTTGCTCGAGTTCAAATACCTTTTGAAAACTTTGAAAGTTCTTCAACTGAAGCTTTAAACTCAAAGCTGAAGTCCCCCCTAGCTAACGAGAAAAATAATTCTCATTTTATCTTTTTCTATTGTGTTTGACATGCTCTACACCAGTTAATGTGATCTTCTTGCTGTCCGTGAATAGAAGTCCCGTAGCAGTTTTATTTAAAGCTCCAGGTGCTTTCATTACGCCAAAGGAAATAAAAAGTAGTATTCACTATCACTAAATCTCGCATAGATTTCTTCCAAAACTTTATCCATTACATTGTAGAAACAATTGAATAGAGCTCTGCTTTCTAGATGGGTTTTGGTGTCTTTATCCTTGCAAAGAAAATAAGTGTCCTGTCCACTGCCTTCCCCCTCTGACAAGCCCAATGCGTTGCGCATCGTCCCTATTAGTCATTGTATTGTATTGTAATTTAGATTATTTAATGTTAGTTTTTACAATAGTGAATATACACCAATTAAGACTAACATGAAGCAATTTCAAGGATTGCATAAGACAGTTCATTTACTGCAAAACGAGCATGCGCACTTGTTTTCAAGGAACCGAGTTTGATCAAATTCTTAAATTGTCTAGTTTTTTGTGCTGTCTTTATTGATTCCGGGAGTGAGTTCCAGATTCTAGGCCCTTGAAAATTTAATGATCTGATACCATTCTTTGTAGTTCTGGCTTTTGGAATGTCAAGGGGTTTTTGAGTCGAAGGTTATGACCTGTTGTTTTGGGTACAATTCTAAGCGCTAAAATTCTAGCTGATTGGACATGTATGGTATGACGGTTCAGGTGAAACTTTTTCTTGGAATTACATGTCTTTTGGTGTTGGCCTCGATAAAATTGTAGAGACCTTGAACAACACCAAGTAAATTTTACATTGACCCACTTTATGCAAGATTCAACTGATGGCCATGGCAGTGGACATAGATGCTCAGCGGAGAACAGTCCACCATTCGCTTTGCAGAACAGTCCTCAATTCGCTCATTTTAGACCCTCGAAGCATTTGCCAATTAGTTTCTATATACACTTTTAAGCCCAATTTGTACAGTTGCTGAAGTCCGAGTTTTGAAAAATTTATCAAAAACTTCCTTTCGGGTACCATTCAGTGCAAAAATGACACAAACTGACATTTATTCATGCTGAAGGAAGTCAGATGTTTCATCAATTATGACAGTATCACAGCCGTTTTCTTTTACTTCTTCGTCTATCTTTTCAAGCACTAATTGGGTTGTTGCTGCTCTTGGCGCTTTTCTGTGTTTTTTTAACCAATTGATTTTTACCATACTTCCGAAAGCGCTCACGATTACGACCATTCAAAATGTAATTTTTCTTATACTTTTTGTTGTTGGAGAAGGCTCCTGCTCGAATTTTGCCCGAAAAAGTCAGCTGGCCGAATCTAGGGGGGCTGAAGCCCCCCAGCCCCCGTCTCGTACGCCTATGTTACTCATTATCAAAATAAATAATTTTTTGGCTAAGAGACAACTGCAAAAAAAATTTAGAGTAATGAAAATTCAAATCTTCACCATAAAGTTTCTGGATACTGCTACAGTAAATTATAAATGGCTATGATTTAGATTAAAGAGCAGATACAATAACTCCAAAAAAGGAAGGAAGGAGATTGGCTTGAAATGTTTTATTGTTCCAAAAGTCTGGAATGGCTGTTAGTCAAATCAATTATTCAAAACGGAACATTTTAGGTGGAAGTGCAGAGAAACACTTCTTTGGTAAATGTAGAAAACATCTAAAAGGACATTGCATTTTTTGACTGAAGAATAGAGTTCATAGTTGAGGATGCTCAGTCATTTAAAATGACACAAGAAAAAAACTTAATTTGTTGACTTTCATAACTTTTACTTAACATGCTAAACTAGATAAGCCCTGGTTCATCTGGGACACACAGGAAACATATTTGTATCATTTTTATCAGGATACAAATTATCTTCCTTTTGACTAAAATTGGGTTTCATAAGATGGCAAAATTTATGGTTGAATGCAAGTCTGTCAAGTGTGATTAATTGATATCTCAGTAAAACAACAGCTCAAAATTAAAAGCCCTGTGCATCAATTACGACATCTCAAATCTTAATTTAAGTAATATCGACAATTTTGAATATTGATATATCATTCAAAAAAGTAAACTTATTTCTTAACACAGCAGTCAAAGATGAATAAAAATCTTAACATAAGTCTTATTTGGAAAATTCTGACCAACTACATTTTCAAAATTCACACAAATTTTTTAATAACCAAGATGAAAGGTACATAATTGTCATTTCAAACAGCACAGCTATTTATATTTTGAAAATCTGAGCATAAAGAGCAAGGCAAGGAGGTTATTTGCAAAAAAATCAATTGCCTGAACAAAGATAAAAAATTTATGTCAATGCTTAGAAACCACAAACCTTAGATAAAAAGTTGATTTCATTTTGCCAACCACCTACTATGAAAATTCCACTCTGTATAATGATTGCATTTGGTGAAGAAACTGCAAAAACATAAGGTTTAAAGGACTTAAGGGACATAAAGAAAATGCTCTTCCCATCTGAAACAACAAGTAGCAACTGTGAATATCAGTTTTAATCAAGGCACACCTGCCACACAATTTACAGCCTATGAAAATCTATGTCAAATGAGCACCTGTTACACATGCAAGGACTTGCAGAATAACTAATCATTGATTTCAACTGAAAAGATTATATTCAAAGATGGTTTATATACTACACATTATGCAGTGCATTTTACAAGCCACGAGAATGCAGAAAATTGAAAAAAATTCCTTTTTATAATTAGGCTACCTTTTGGAATATTCACTTTTTAAGAAAATAATTTTCAAAAATAGTCTTAATCACATACAATCTATTTAAAATGCTCTTCAAATTCTGATCTATTCAAAAAATTCTCAGGTGCAGCATAACATAGATAGACATGAATGCTACTACTTTCTGGGCAATAACTTTAGGGATAAGGATATTAAAAATTATTATCATGATCAGCAGTTGATAAAACAAAGAAAAATAATATTTTCATACTCAGTATTCAATACTTAATATTTAATTTAATATTTTATGATATCATAATTAGCAATTAGTATACAATGAAGCAAATCTCCTGATGCCTAGTAAAATTGAAAAAATTAAAAGGAAAAGAAAGAAATGTGGCATAGAACTAAAGCCAGAACATATAAATTAAAAAAATATCCTTCAGGGAAATATCACCAGTAAATAAAATATAAAAAATTTATTTCTAATAAAGAAACCAGCATTCTTTTGAAATGTGTGAGAAGGAAGAACCGCAGGATAGGCTGTCCGCCGGATTCTGTGAATCTTGCAATGAGTGTTGTTATGAAAGATATACAGGAACAAAGCAATATGACGACAAGAATTCAGGAAATAAATCAGCAATATGTCAGGAAATAAAATTTTCAAAATAAATTAAATTTAAAGAATATACTAATATTTCGCCCCAAAAGAATATACTAATATTTCGCGGCGAAATATTAGTATATTCTTTAAATTTAATTTATTTTGAAAATTTTATTTTGTGACATTGGATTCTTTTGAAATCTTTTTCAGTTTTGAAATCTACTCATTGTTTTGATATGCAAGTATGTATGTAAAATAATATCTTATGTGAATTACAAACTAAGTTTGGAAACTTGTTTTCAGCTCGGTTCACAAATTTTATGTAAAAATCTGAACAGCAATCAGAATGAATTGAAAGGGTTTGTAGTTTATTGCTGTGGCTTTTGGCATGGAAATGGTTGACAAAACAAATTATGTTAAACAAATAATATTTATAGTTAATTTTTAACACCTTAGACAAAAACCAAAATCTTTACCTTATTGTAAACAGTTCAATGTTGCCTTTATAAAACTGACAAGCTCCTTCTAATTTACCTTGAATTTCGTTCAATATTCTATCAACTACTACAAGACATGATAATCTTATATCTAGGATATTCCACTGATAGTCCAAATCTGATGTTGGTTGTGCACAACAGGTTCTTCAGTTGTAAGCTAGTTTTTCAAAACTCAAGAACTAGACCTACAGCAGTTACTAAATTCAACAATTAAATATAATCTTAGCATACCTTGTTTGCTAACTGCAATGCTGTAAAATATGTCACCTGCATCTGAAACAAAGGTGTTTATTGAATACACTGAGTAAAGTTTCTACAAAATAACAAAATCAGGGCTAGGTTGCTTAAAACTTCGAAGTGCTTCAATGCTATAATGAACTAAGTTAGCTTAATAAACACCATTAGATATCGTAAAAATGTAAATATATATATTGTTTCAGGGCTATGAAAACTGCAAAGCTGAAAACCAAGTGCATTTCAGCTAAAAATCAGCGGATTTGATGGCTGTTATATATCAAAGTCAGTTCAAGGCCATATAAGTGAATAATGCTACTAATTCGTACGAGCTACGTAGTAACGACATAAACGCCTCTTCACCTGCAACTTAGTAGGTAGTCGTGTCGTAAAACGGTCCGTTCTCGGCGAAATATTTATTATTCCGGATTACATTGAACTGATTCCTTTATACTCTCGTGGAAAGTCCTTTTACGTGAAAAATTAACATTTTCAATACGGTACCTTGTACCGACCTCATTTCATTCAGTGCAGAATAAAATATAAAAGTTTTAGGGAACACACAAACAGAAATCCAGCAAACGTGGGCTCAATCATCTGCACTATGTATACGGACTGCATGCAACATGCAGTGCAGGTTTCGATCCGTGTATCGTAGTTAAAGGAAGACAATTTCGAAGCTTGCAACTTCATGAGTGAAACAGTACAAGAAATTGCAGTCTTCTCGTGCGGCGTATTTAATAAAACCAACTTACTTGCGACGTTTCAATTTTCTGCACGTCTAATCGGCTTGTCACCATCAACAACAAATTTGAATAACAGCAACAACAACATAAACAATGTTAGCACGCGGGGAAACTGCGGGTTCTCACCACTGATCCAAAAAAAATTTAAACTCTGGAGGGGTTGCAGGGGCAGCTGGCCTTCCTGCTCTCGTCCAGGAGGGGCTGAGGAGGCAAGCAGTGCCCTTAAATATTCACTCTTAAGAAAAGATTATAGGATCTTGTAGATAATTGATGACTGGTTTAGCCACTCTCAATGTGTTAATTTCCATTAGAAATTCAAAAGATAGAAAAAATTCTCCATTTTAGCTGCAGGTCTTTGATAACGGAAAATTCTTTTACTGACCAGGAAAAAAAACTTCAAAAACCAACGGTGCTTTTTAAGATAATGACTATTTTGACCATCTGCAACCATGGAGTATTGAGGCTAAGCAATCCATTTAAAAATGCCATGACCTTGGTAAAACCATAATGGCAAGGACATTTAATACCGACTTGCATGAAGAATTTTGTCAGCATTATGCCCATGTTTAGAGCCCTTGATTGAAAAAAATCCCAGCTGTATGGCTTTAACAGATCCATGATAGTATTTTTTCATCCTCCCACCCCACCCTTCACAAATAGAAGATTATGGGACAATAGAAACCCGCATAAAAACCTAGGTTTTTTCCTGGCTGCCTGAATAGGCTCTTGATTATCAGGCTGCTATTCTAAATTCCAGTCTAAAGGTTCTTAACAAGGTTCTTATACACATACAGGCCTTGCACATATTAATAATGTTTTCCATCGCAAGAATTTTAGCAGACACACTTAAATCAGCTTTGTTTTTCATGTTAAATTTGAACCAATCAAATGTGTTGTTAGATTGTCCAGTTAGCATGCAACATAGCATAACCTGATTTACTCTTAGCTGGTTCATTTTGTCAGTGTGTATAGGGTCTAAAAATACTACTCTTAAGACCCTTTTTTCTTATATAATAAGATTCTTTCCAAATTTCAGCCTTTTTAGGGTTCTTAATTATGGGGTTTAAAAGATTAAATTTCAGCCTCGAGGTTCTTGTAAAAACAGTTCTTTTATCTGGGTTTCTACTGTAGTGGAAAAAATTCTACTATTTGCCCTCAGCACCAGCACTGCCCCTTCTGCCTTAATCTTGTGTAGGCGTCCCTGAACATACATTATACCAAGATAAAATACTATAGTCGATCTTAATTTTTATTATACTATAGTCGAAAACTTTCTGACAAAAAGTTTGGGAAAAATAGCATCCGACAAAAAACCTAGTATGCATTTGTAAGAGTTTCAGAGAAATAACCTTTGGATAAACAATTTTCGCATGATAGCAAATTATATGTCAATATAAATGATAATTTCCGTTAATTATTCAACAATAAACTAATTATTTTTACATGGTGCAATAAAAGCTCAAAAAAATAATAGCAAAACATGCTGATATTGTCAAAATATGATTTTAACTAGCTTGAGTATAGCTAGAGATTGTACCAACTTTAAATAAAGAAAGAAAAAAACAAAAAGATTTTGCATGTGGAGCCAAATGTTGCAAAGTTGGGGTGATTTTCATCCTATGTCACATCCTTCAACATTATTTCAAGGTGAAACCTTTATGACAGTATTTCCATCAAACAACAATCTAAAGTAAAAAATATTTTGTAGAGCATATTTTGAAATATCAGATCAATTTTCTGCAAAAGGGCTACTAGAAAATGTCACGAGTCATTGGGTTTTGACCCAACTATAATTTGTTGTCTAAAATTGAGGTATCTTTAATCAGACATGAAAATTTATTCTTCTATGAAAATTAAAAACTAGCAAAGGTGCGGTGTGTGTGATGGGTATGTTTGAAATCAGTTCTTTACAAATGTTTGATTCAAAAGTTTCCATGCCAATCATTTTCAAGACAGAATTGTCTGAATTATCAGGCTTGCTGACCTGGTCTAATTTCATGGTCCTTCTTTGTTCAGCTGTCCATGAATGAGAAGGAAGCAGGATGATGGTTTCTTGCCTATCATCTGTTATTCAATAAATATAGTGAAAATATATCAGCGTTTATTTAATTTGATTAAAAACCGGTTTTTATTTTCAAATTAAGTGTAGAAATACATTTAAAACTAATCAATATAAGATTTTTGGCTTTATTTATCTTTAAAATCTATCATAATTCTAATTTCAAATTCTGACAGGTCAATACTCAGCTTCTAAGATTAAAACAAATTTGCTCTTGTTTCAGGATTGCAAAAAGTCCTCTAAAATTATCTTCTTTGTAGCCATCTTCGAATCATTTCTTTCTAAAAAGATAAAATAATGTTTCTTTTTGTAATTTGAATGATCTCTTGGCCTTTGGTTTGTCAATGCTCTCCTGAACCATAGCTGGAGTGATCGATGCCCCGCTCTTTGTGACAAAATGGCCTGATTTCGCAGAATCCGTGTCATCAAAAACTTTCTTGCTGTCATCATACACCGCAATGAACTCAAACTTTGGATCTATGAATGACATTCTTGCATCAAAATGTGCGTCACTGGCAAGAAAATAGCCTCCAGGTTTCAAATATTTTTCGCATGGCTTTGAAACGATACCAGCACTCAGGGACATTAAGAGATCAAAACTTCCTGGTTTTTCCCCGATATCTCCGTCAAAATTTTTGCACTTGAATTTGATGGTCGAAGCTTCTTCGTATTCTTTGTTTTCTTTGACAAACTGGAGAACCTTTTCGTCAGTAAATAATTGTGCGACCTTGGAATAATTATCAACGTAGACTACATCAGAAAAAATGAGAGACGCAGTGATATGTCTGTGGCAGCCTGGATACAAAAGCTTCTTTGCTGATGTGAAATTTTTCAAAGCTCGGAAAACAGGTATGTGAAAATCTCCTAAGCCACCTTTGTAAGACTTGAAATAAGCGGTTAATGATGCCGATCCTTTTTTCGTTTTTAGTGCGCCAGCGCCATCTTGTTTCTTCTTGGAACTGGCGGGAGCTTTCCCGCGGTTTGCACTCTTTTTTACAACTTTCCCTTTTGACTCTCCCTTCTTGGAAGAAACCTTTACACTGCTAATGTTCGGCTTCCCCGCTTTTCTTGGCGTCGGCTTCATCTAGATGTTTTCAATACCAATGAATCAAACATTTGCAATCCCTTTGCAATGCAAGAAAGGAGGCGTTCCCACCAGTGATTCCCTCTGATAAGTGGTGATTCCCAATTTCTCGTCGCCTATTGTTTTGGCGGCAATTTTGAGTGAAACAAGAAGTTGTAGCCTCACAATCATTTGGTGATTTGGCATCGAAGCTTCTCGCCAGCCTGACGAAGGTTGATGTTGTTTTTATTGCTGTGGGTGGTTGGACGAAGTAGACGAGGACCATGAACACTGCAGACCTATGTGATGCATATGGAGATGAGCTGCAATATTTGCAGCCACTCACTTTCCGTGATTTTGGTAAAAGGAAGAAATTCGAAGGTGTTATTGCTACAGTCAAATGCCACGATGATAATTCTAAAGTGAAGGAAGCTCTCAGCGAACCAGGAGATGGACAGGTCTGTCTTTAAACCAAACAAATGTCCTGCTTGTTCTTAGAATGATGGGGTCTGTTAAGTAGAATATGCGCATAGTTTTTATGTTGTTTGTGTTTCAACATTGTTTTTCCATTGTCCATGAATATTTTGACATAGAAATTATCTTAAATAACCCCCCCCCCAGCTTATTTCTATTTATCTAAATAATATTGCTTTATTAAGTATTGCCTTATCTGGAGAAAAATTATGAAACATTATTTGTTTGAAGAAATGGCATGATCTACAGCTGGTTAACTGTTTAGATTTCCACTCAGGTTCTTGTCGTTGATGGTGCTGGGTCTATGGGAAGAGCTTTGCTTGGTGACAATTTGGCCACATCTGCAATAAAAAATGGCTGGAATGGCATTCTAATATATGGCTGTATAAGAGACTCAGAAGAAATCTCAAAAATGGAAATTGGAGTGAAAGCCCTTGGAACAATTCCTAGAAAAACAATGAAAAAGAACCAGGGTACAAGAGGAACTGCAGTAGAATTTGGGGATGTTGTTTTCAACCCTGGACATTATCTCTACTCAGACCATGATGGGGTAGTGGTAGCCAAGACTAAATTGGTGTACCCTAGATTATAAGACAGCAAAACTTAGATACAGTGCAAAGGTTTAAGGGGGCTCTCCTAATGGTTTTTGTCAAGTTACAATTTTCTGACTCTTTAGGCTGTAAGAAGCTTTTTTGTTCTATGTTGAGCTCATAGGATTATTTTTACCATTGTGGGTCGCCTTGTTTTATCAAAAATTTGCTTAATATTTCCATTTGTGTTTGGTGTGTGGGTTTTGTATCCTTCCCCTTCCCTGATTCAAATTTGATTTATCTACTGTAAATAGAATCCTAATGCCCTAAAATCGATTTTAGAAAGATACACAAGTTCACTTTGTACCCAGCACATGATTGTCTCACCAGGTATGCCTGGCACTGAAGGTTGTCCCACAACACTACAACCAATATTTTGCCAACTTTGTTAGCTATGCCTGGCAATCTAGCATGTTGTGACCATGACAAAGGATGAGCCAAGAAAGTATAGACAAAACAAGGGGGAACACAACCCTAATAATATATACATTCCATTGCTTTTCTTTACTGTATGAAACTTCAGCAAATACCTACAAAGATCATTGAAAATATTCTGTTGAATTGACCAATATATTTTGAATGGCTAAAAAGAATTATGATTAATTTACCATGCGCAATGTAATCTAAGGTAACTAAAAATTTAAAAGTCCAAGAACGTCCTAATGTATTTCGTGAAAATTTAAATAATCCATGCAATTCTATAAAAAGTTTTGTTCATATCGAGATAAGATTTTTTCAAGGTTTGTTCTCTTTGTCATTGATTCTTCTTCTAGGCTACTTAAAATTCCAGCCTCTGCATTAAAGTCCAATTTCAGTGTGCTTCTTTTTAGACTACCACTAAAGGGTTACCCCTTATGCATAGAAAAAAGTCTGCATATGTTTTTGTCGGCCATATCAATATCCCCTACCTCAGGAGCCTGCCTCAGGAGCATGCCTCTTTTGATTAAAATATTGAAACATTACTTCAGTCTGCACATGCTATTATACAAATTTACATAATGTCAAATATTACATTTACACAAAGTTTACATATTTAACACAATTATCCTTATTCTAAATTACTAATTATAAATTCTCAATGTTGAAATAATTATTTTTCCTTTTGGTATACTCTTTGCAGTTGGATTCTACAGAGTGCATAATTACTCTTCAAGTCCATTAATTCTTATTTTTGTGTATCTGTTTTTCTTCCATATACGATACAAGTCAATATCGAAATAATCAGTAAGCATTTCATAGCCTTTCTGGGAAATCTCTAGAGGAGACTCTACCAATACTCTTGCAGGTTGCATGGCCTTTTGAACATTCTGCAGCAAAAGTTCACCATTCTTATTTCCTGTGACATTGCATCCAATGAAATGCATCTTTGTATCATCTGGGTCTTTTTTAGAGATGTAGCCCCCAAGATCTTTGAAAAAGTCTCTAAGGTCTGGCTCCTTTTCCAATTTTTTTGATGTTAGGACCCTGCCTTTACAGATGTAAGCATAACCTGGTCCACCTTGGCAAACAAATGCAATTCTTTTAGCCTTGCTACCAACTTGGTAATCCTCTAATGACAGAGCAACATTTTTGAGCAGGTCCATAATGGTGACATGAGAGAACTGGTACATAATCACATGAACATCTTTAAGTGTAATACGTGCTAGCCACTCAGGTCGTGGAATATTCGAGGAGATCAATAATATTTTCTGTGGGTCATAGTCATCCCCCATGTTCGCAATTTCAATGAGTCGTTGACTCTGCCACTTTAGGTCCGTAATATCTTCCTGGTACAATTCAAAGTTCTCCTTTGCAACTTTTCTCATTTCAACTTCCCCATTTTCACTTGCTCTGCGACTGTCATTTTCCCAAGGTTTCATTAACTCTGCCTTTCCCTCACTCAGTTTTTTTTGTATTTTTGCACGATAAATTCGTTGAATTTTGACAATACTTTTGCGCCTTTTTAGCATCTCTCTTCTTGCCTTGAAAAATAAAATAAAGTTTTAGTAACAAAACAAAGCTTTTGAAGAATCAAGGGGAATCATAAGTAATCTATATTGGAACAATAAGCATGACAAGTTGAAAAACAGGACATTGAATGTGTGAAGATAAGTAAAATTAACTTTCAATTTCTTAAAGCAAAACTTTAATAAATTATAGGGCAAGTGCCTATTTACGCGTCTGTCATGGGCAAACAGTAAAATTAGTAAGGTGATCAGGCACTTCTCTGGTTACCAGATTTTTCCAGCCATTTTTTACACATCTGCTGTCAGGTGGTCAGGAGGCAAACATTTAAACCATGGGCCAAGCCAGAGCCTGCAACTTTATGTTTCAACTAAACTGATCTGACACCACCTCTTATCAAAGGCTGCACCCCCTTTGAAGCAGGAACTAATTTTCAACATCAACAATAGCTCCCTTTTGTATGCACTTTTGCCTTTGATAATCAAAAACACTTACCAATTTGCATTTTTTCTACGAATCTCGAGAATTTCATTGACTGGTATCTTGTGCAATCAGGGGGAGGGGGGGGTGCTAGAAAAATTTGTTGGGGGTAACTGATGCAAGGTTGATTTCTTAATTTGTTTAGACTGCCAAGCTTGCAGGATCTAGTGCAGAACAAGCAGTGAAAAATTCATGTTTCTTGAAGTGAAATTATGAGTAATACCAAGATAATATACCTGATAGCCACGCATATGGCTTTGAATTCTTACAGCTGCCCTCTCTCTCACTCTGGTGTTAGTGCATGCTTGACATGTGCATTCTCCAGTGTGTGACTTCTTTGCACCTCTACCTGTTAAATTTGGAGTTGGTGATCTGTAAGAACTCACATAAGCAAACTGGTTGTAATAATCTGCACTACTTTTCACCTCAGCATCTACACCTCTAGACGTCACATTCCCTGTATGATCCAGTACATGCTCACTGGTCCCTATAACTCCTTTGCCCCAATTACCCACTGCGTTGTGAACTGGTGTACAAGCACGGCTGTTATTGGGAACGGAGACAGGCTCTGCTTGTGCAAACAACATTGAAGAGCTCTTAGTACCAATTATTTGCAAAGGGCCCTTCTCGACAGGCGGTACAGCCTCTTGAGAAGAACCAAACGAATTGGCAAATTTTTCAATGCCCTGATCTCCATCAAAAACTGTTTTTTTGCACGGCTCCCTCTCGATGATACTAACCCCTCCAGGCTCTTTTTCCTTTTTACATTTTAGTTCCCTCTGCATGCCATTCAACTCGACGTCTAAGGCATCTTCGAGGCAAACATTGCTTTTTGGAGACTCACTTTCTTTTACAACTTTTCTAGGGGAGTCTGGCTTCAAGTTTTTATTAACCGGGTGAAATTCCTCCCTTCGGTTATTTTCTTCAAAACTGACACCGTGAGAATTTTGTCCATGTGGATATGATTTGATTTGTTCATTTACTTGGTCAACACTTTTTCTTTCCAAATTCTTGCCTTTATATCTCCTTTTACTCTTGTTGTTGTCTATCCGTTCCCCTTTACCATCAATATTGTTGTCGATATTCCGATATCTTTTCGTAACATCCGGCTGCCATTCGATACCCCTTTGGTTCCCAGTATCTATCACTCTAGCTTGATGTTTGCTCAAAACCTGAGACCCAAAACTTGTGATAACCATGGTCTTTTTACGGGCTCGTTCCTTTACCGAAACGATTGAACCCATCCTTAAACAAACTGTTTTGACAATTCAATCTTGCGTAGTCTTCAAGTCTTTGCCTTAAGCCTATGTAAACTGAGCTGACAAACAAGAAATTTTCTAAATACCTTGAAAGTTATTCTTCAAATGACAAAGAAATTCATGCTAGTTGTAACGTCGCACACAATGCTCTCTATGCACATTTGCAGTCACAAAGGATTTGTATCGTTGTCTGATTTTGTATGCGGTTTTCATGTTTAACAATGAGGTAATTTAACTAGCGTTGAAAAAGACAGAATATATCAAGCAATAGACAATCCATGTCGCTTCCCGTTTGACGTAGAGGATAAGAACCCACGCTTTATCAGTAGCTGACATACATCATACTATGCACAGTTCAAGCGAGATAAGGTTACTACTGACCTCAACTGAACAACTACCGCATGAAAAAACGTTTTGTTTGTGACCCTAAATCATTTCTGATAAGATCAACCTATCCTTCGAACTTTGCAATCTCTAAAGCACATGCAATGTTTGCTCCTGATAAAATCTTGTTATTGACGTTCGGTAAAATATGTTGATATTTTGATAAACAGAAATTTGATATCTACATGAACTAAAGGTATCTGATGGAGCCCTTCAAAAGAAGTGAAAACCATTTACCAGTGGTTAAACATTTTTAGTATTTTTATGGCTCTCCATTTCTTTCACATTTCTATTAATTGTATATTAAAAATTCACTTTGTCAAATGTCCAGCAAGCTCAAAGCTACTGACATGTCGAAAATAATTATAATCATGATGATAATTTTCCTCCTATGACCAAAATGTTTGTTTACAGCATATCTCTATGGTTTACATTAGCAAGCTGCAAAACCACAAAAAGCACTTATTAGTAAACAGGCTTCTAATGACTGGCCCTTGGTAGGTAGGTAGCATTAACAAGGTTCAGTAAATCCTGTTAAGTCATATCCTGGATTACATAAAACTTCCCTATGGCAGACTGATCTTTCATACCCATATGATTGATCTTCCTTGGTTATTCAAGTCAAAAGTCTTAACATAAAGGTCCAAAGGGTAGCAAAAGGGGTTCAAATGTATAAGAACATCATCATCACACAGAGGTGGACAATTTCTGTAAAAGACTGGTCCCCCAGTGGGAGATCAGCAGCTCTTTCATTGGTCCCCTGCATATGGCCGGTGGTCTTCTGAAACGTAACTCTGGCGACAGGGGTGGACATTCCCAGGGAAAATTTGGTTGCCCAGGGGTTACCCTGTGTAATGATAAGTGGTCTTCCGCAGATAAAAACCAGTTGTCCAGGAGACTGAATTGTTTATCCCTGCTTGCAAGGAGTCATTACACCTTAGTAACACTTATATATATATAATAGCCATATCCGCATAGAAAAACTATAATTAGTTCTTCTCTGCTTTAGCAGCAACACAAATGTTGTTAACTAATGCTGTCCAAGTTTGTCTCTCTTGCGGTAGTGTAAAACTCTATAATCGAAATATTAAATACAATCAAACCATTTATCTTTAAGTACTTAAAAAAAGCCTATCTAAGTAATAAGGAAATCCCAAAATATAGAAACTCATAAATATCTTTAGCAAAAGCAGTGTATGAGACATGGGCATATCAACATCACTACCTAATAACCAGTGATTAGAAATACACTTTATAGACAGCATACAGGGCTTCATCAGAGGAAAAGTAAACAGTCTAAAAAGTACACAAATTTAAAATAGATGATGGTGGTGTTGGATTGGCAATTGTGAAATGGTGTGAATGCAGCGCAGCGAAGGAGAAACAGGTAATGAAAGTAAAAAGGAAAGGTTGGTGAGCGATATGAGGGGGCGTAGGTGGTGGTGGTGGAATGAAAGTGCTATGAGGGTGGGCAGTGGTGATAATAATAAAAAGTTATCACAATATTCAATAATAATACTATTAACAATAATATTCAAAAATGAAAATAATAATTCAAGACAATGATAATGAGAATATTGAGAGTAATGACAACAATTATAAATCAATAAAATTTAGGTTGTAGAAAAGATAGGATTGCCCAACAAAATTGTCAGCAAATTAGACCTGAGCACTCCTCCTTGAGCAAAATAGCTAGCGATGGCCCTCAATTCAAAGATACAGATTAGAGAAGAGAAGGAAAAATGATGAACAAGTTATTGGCCCAAAATAAGCAACAATGGTATTTTCAATGTTTCTAAAGAATGTGTGAATGAAGAAATGGTCATGGTAGCAGGCTGCTCCAAGGAGTTCTTGCAGTGAAAAGTTGATAAAAATGTAGCAAATAAGAAACACCACAATGCGCTGAGAATATACAACAATAAATACACGTAAATTAGTGCTAAATTAGTACTTTTTTCTAAATAATGTAGTATTTTTGAGGACATTTTTTTCACCTGAAACTAATGGTTTTATCAAAAAAATATCTGTGCACCAGAGAATCACTGAGGGTGATGGATATCAGCATTCATGAGAAAAATTATTGGTAAACAAATAATTTCGAATTTTCAAAGATCCTTGAGCTTGATTTTCAGATTCTACTGTGCCATTTTTTATGCAATAATTTTTTTCACTGAAATGAAGTTCCCAGGTTCAGATACTTCCCAAAAATAATTTCGCAGTTTGTATCTCATATTGGCAAATTCATGTTGCAGCATACATAGAATATTTTCATAGTATCAAACATAGATCAGTCTTCTATAAAAAAAATAAACTATTGTAGATCGATGTTTGCAAATTACCAACATTAACATGAAGAAACTATCAAGGTATAAAACAAATTTGTTTTACTTTTTCTTTGAGCCTTGGAACTTGTGTGTGTTCTTCTTGACAGAAAGTTTGCTTTTGAAATTACTTTTGGTAGAGTTTCTATTTTTGCTTCTTTGACTACTTTGGAATTTTGATCCACCTTTCTTTTTTTCAATAGAAAACTTTTTGTTATTCTTTGTTGCCTGTCCACTGTCTCCTTTCAAAGAAACATCTTTCATTCTAAACTGTCTGTCTTTCTTTTTATTGAATGGTCTGTCAGCTTTGTCTTTTTCAACTGACCGGAATACCCTAATCTTCCTACCAGCAAGGTCTGAATTTTGCAGTTTAACTGCAAATGTTACACTTTCTCTCTCTTTAAAAGTGACATATCCAAAACCTTTGCCTGCCCCTGTCTTTTTGTCTCTGATCACTCGAACATCATCAACATCACCACATTGACTAAAATGCTTTCTGATATCTTCCTCGTTTACATTAAATGGCAGATTACCAATGAATACAGACTGTTTGTTGTCAATTGCTCTTTTTGCAGCCAAATCAACTCTCAAGTGCATCCCTTTAAATTCTGTTCCTTTTGCTGCCAAAGCCTTTTCGGTTTCACTTTTTTCTTCGTAAACAATATAAGCATTCATTGTGTTTCTTTCTGGGTGAAATTCTTTTTTCAAAATTGCAACTTTCTTTGAATGTTTAGGGCCAGCAACCGGTACAGATCTGAAACGAACACTTTCCACTTTCCCATATTTGGAAAAAATTGATTTCAATTCTTTCTTTGTAGCATCAATTGAAACGTTTCCTACAAATATTGTTCTTGAAAGCCTTTCAGCCTCATCAACAGTGCTCTCTCTTGATTCTGCATTGTCGCTGGTTTTGTACTTCTTTCTGTTCATCCGTTGTATTTTCCTCGTTGGTTCATTTGAAGATACCACTTCTAATCCTACTCTTTTCCGTTTAGAGGAAGCTTTTTCGGTCGAAGTTCCTACAGACTCTTCTATCTTGGTAGAACTTGAAAGAGGTGGCCTAATTTTGTCTTTACGTTTTGTTGCAATAACGATAGCGGGTTCTGTGAAAGTTACTGCAGAAGATTCACCACTAAATAGATTGTCAAGTTCTTTAGCATGATCTTTGGATTCTGCATCACAAGTTGTATTGCTAAGCAAGTCTGATATGCCACCAAGTTTATAGCCACCGGATACCTCTACTTGCTTTCCTGCCGCCATGATGAAACAAAGCATTCACATGGTTGTGTTGTTGTTGTTGTACAGGACACTCGGTGGTCACCCCTAAATATGAAAGCCCCTTACTTGCTAGACTTCTTATTCTGATTCTTTGAGAATAATTCAATATTTATTTGGCTGGATTGAATGTGTAATAGTTACTGCATATTAGAGTTCATAAGAAATTTTTATCATAAATTGTGCAAGTTTTATTGCGTTTGGTGACAGGGGCGAAAATACCGGGGGGGTGTGGGGGGTGTGACACCCCCCAATCCAAAAAATAGTCGATTTCGCAGGGCAATCGAAGATTTCGCAGGGCGCCAAGAAGAGCTTTATTGCCACGCAGAAATGCCACCTCTGAAGTTCGTAAAGGGCCGTTTAAGAATTTTTAAATGGAAGTATCGTATTTTTTATGAACCCCCCTTCCTGACATTGTATTTTAGAAAACGGAACAGGTATGTAAATAAAAGCTCCGTTATTTGCAAGGCGAAAGCATTTCTTACCGAAAGTCATAGCCAATGGATGCAATGATTGATGCATATGTTTATGAGGGCAAGGTTGAGTCCATACAAGTTAATTTAAGTTGTAAATTATTTTCATGACAAGCACGGCATCACTGGAGGGGAATAAGAGGCTGAAGGCCCTCACTTTGGTCAAGATAAGAATTTCTTTATCATTTTTTCTATTACTTTTTAACAGTGCATGAACTAAAAAACATAATAAATCGTTAAGATACCGATTTTGTTTCATCTAATTGCTAACTTTTTCACGTATATTTTTATTATTTTTCTTATTTGCATTTAATCAAGTCAAAATCAATTCATTCTGTATCATTGCAATGTTTTAATTTTGGATGTGTAAACATGGCTTCTCGATGCAAGAAGCTGCGCACATTTCTGTTCAGGAATAAAAATTCCCCAATCAAACAACATCTTCCTCTGCATTCACAACTACGTGCATCTGAACAAAAAGGTTGTCGTTTCTTCCTACCCAACGTCTAAATACTAAGTTTTAGCATGACATCCCCTCCCTATTTTCCCAATAAACAATAATATTTTCATAACAATCAGTTTTTTAGCACAACGTATTTGCTAAATTTTGTCTGGAGATGCTTTTAGCCCTTTACAAGTATAATTTCAAAATTTTCTTCACGTCGACCCAACATGGTGGGTCTCCTACCTCACTAAATTGATTCTTAGTCCCCTGAGCTAATTCGTTGCGCTGTCGCAATATGTATCCCCCCCCCCATAGCTGTTTATTTAGCTAGATTTGCAACCACTTAAATGAATGAATAAAAAAAAGATTACGCTCACGTAGAGAAATAGATATTAAAGCAATGAAGTTCAAGTTTTTTTATTGCTTAGAATTTTGTCTTGGTAAAGACCGTGTACACTGGTAAAGCTTCACTAGTAACCTATAGACAACCGTTGCTACGACAGGTTCTGCAGGGCACCAGCTACGTTTTGCAGGTGCAAACCCTTTTCACCCCCCAACCTTATTTGCAAGTTCGACCCCTTTTGGTGAGTGCGAATGGTGCAAATCAGGGGGGACAATGATCTCTATAAACTAACACCAGGGTTCGGAACAGAGTCACACGAGCTGATAAAATGGCACCTTCAAAGAAAAGCAACACGTTGAAACAAGGGGGAGTA